TTTTCTTTTCCAGGGTTGCAACAGCGCCCCCTAGAAAAACAAGTTGCACCATCCAATCAAATCGTGTTTTGTGCTGCTTTATGCCAATGAAATTAAGGCTGGACAGCATATGTATTATATTCTGACCAATGGGGTTGCCGTATTTTCAAATAATTAGGATAGACTTACCACTTCAGCATTCCTTTCATCACTGAAGTGATATACATGGTCAAAAATTGACTAACTTTCATTTTTGTGTCAACTGCAGAGCAGAACGACACTTAGAGATCACTTTACCTGGTGTCTGTCTGTCCGTCTGTCACACCTTATATCTCCAAAATTTTGAGAGGCAGGGTTTTGATAATTAGCATTTATATATGTTTTTGAGCTCATGATACTATACTTTGAAACTGTATGAAATTCAGTTACCACACAAACTTATATTTAAATACTATGAAAATACATTGGGATCAGTATTCCACAATGAATCGTGTTGACTGACAAAGTGACAATTAAAGTAAAGACAGTCTGAAATTCCTTTCCTCCGAGGATTGTTGGAAGCACCTACATGTGTATTAATAAAATGATAAATAGTTATTCCTCATAATTTCAATTAAATTATTCATTTGAGGACTGGGGAACCATATTTTCTTTGATTGCCAGATTCTATCCCAGTCTTTTACTTTTGGATCCTTTTTTTTCCTTGCAGGCAAATGCATGAACCTCCATGCTAATATTAAATTAATAGCTGACCACTCTTAGATTTATTTACCTCTTTAATGACGATACCTAGCAGGTGACATATACATTCCTTGAAACACTCTAGTTCCTATTTGATTTTCACTAATATAAAGATTATTGAAAATTAAGACTAAGGTGCTCTATAGTGATCAGTCTATTCATTCATCTGTCTGTCAAATACATATATCCCATGTTCAGAGTACAGGTGACTCTAAATACTTCAAACTTTATATTTTTTAATTAGATACATGTAGCTGCTTTGGAACATCTGAAAGGTCTATTACATTATCACTAGTTTTACTAGTTTTCTTCATGTAAGTTGAATATATTTTAAACTTTTAAATTTTTATTTTTTCCAGGTAAGAAAGAAATTCAGGAGTTCTTAAATTGCCCTTGGAGTTCTTGGATTGCATCAAACTGCTAAAAGACCTCAACAAAAACAGCGTCTTGAAAATAAAAATGAAAATATTCAGTGAAAAAAAAATGATGAAAGAGCCACTAAAAATCTTCAAGCCTTTGAGCTGAAATCTGGAAGTCAATCTGTGGACTTTACTAGTATGTCATAATTACTAAGTCATCATTTGTGTATAATAAATACACTAAACTGTAAACACTTGTTAAAATGTGTATAATTTTTAGATATAATTTGTAGCTCACAGACTTCAATAGTTTCATGTAATGTAAGTAATAATGAAAATTTCCTGTTGTCTAGCTAGATTAGAAACTATTATTGTCCAATTTTGGATATTGTGAAATAATTCATCTAGTATGCATACATGTGTGTACACTTACGTGTAAATTAATTGTTATAGCAAATTCAATCGATCATTAAGTTGAATGTTGACTAATGTTTTTCATCAAAATTGTTTACACTGAATTGTTTGTGGATTTTTCCATTTGCCCAGTCATGTCAAGAAGCACATGGCAGGAAATGCTTTCTCCTCCATTGCACCTGGTGTTTTTAGAGGTCTGTGTTTGCTCTGCTCTAATTATGTATTGTTTCAATGGACTTTAAAGCTTGATCACTGTTGGTAATCTTCATATACTATTAGAGTACTTGAAGAAAACTGTAAAGATTTAACATACAGTATAATGCATGTATATTGCACTTTAAGTACAGTGTATGTGGTTAAGAAATGTTAAATCGTCTCATAGTGCATTGAATTTGTTGAAAATTAGAAAATGTGTTGAATTTTTTTTTAAATAATGTTAGATTGCAGATTTTTTTAAATCATGCAAGTAATAAATTGCTAAATATTTTTTAGCTTTTCTGGACAGTCTAGATGAGTTCTTATTATATACCTAGCATTGTCATCCCAGTTAAAATTTAAGGAGCAAGGTTCATTCCTAAGCTCTACCTGGACAAACTTGCATGGATTAAAGCACATTAACAGATTTACTTCAGATGCTTGACCTGATCTACATTTTCCTCATGTGTTTTTTTTTTTTTGTTTTTGTTTGTTTGTTGTTTAACATCCCTCTCAAGAATTTTTCATCCATATGGAGATGCCACTACTTGCTGGTGGAGAGCTGCAAAATTTGACCTATACTTTGCACTCAGGGCCTTGAGCAGTAAGGGATCTTTTTTGTGCCCACATCAACTGCTAGGCGGGACCTCAGTTTATATGGTCTAATCTGAAGGACTGGTCCCCACAACCCCAGTGGATTTGAACCTGAGACTTAAGGATTAAATCCTTACTCGCGACTCTAGATTACAAACTCTCTCCTTTGCGCCACATGGGGGACTCCACAAGATTAAGTGTTTTGAGCAGTCCTATTCTCATGTAATTATAAACTCTATGTTGAACAAACCTGCAAAGATGATGTATGTACATGTAAATGTTTCAGGGTACCAATCCTTGATTTGACTTAGATTTTCTGGATTAATGACCAGTTTTTTAGAGAAGGTTCATTCAAAGTAACAATATACTCTTTGGTGATCAGTAAACATAGATGATGTATCCTGCTTCTGATGCTGGATGTAACATACATTTTCAGGGTTATTGAGCAGTTAAATCTAACCCAGACCAACTTGCATAGATTTTGGATCCAGGTGATATACATTACCAGAGTGTTTGTTGAGTGAGACTTTGCCTTACTAGTAGATAACATTTATAGAAGTGAGCTTTGTATTCTTTGATTAGGTATGTTTTTTCTTTGCTCAGGATATATATACAGTGTACCATCAGTGCCAACTACCATACATTTTATATAATAGATGTAGCTGTTGTTCAACTGAATATGATAAAACTGTGGATGAAAATAATTTGATTTTTGTACCTTTGAATGTATTGAATTCATTTGTAAAAGCTGTTATGATACAATGTTTGATATTTTATAAAAGCTTTTAGCATATGCAATCAATAAATGTATCAACATTTTTATTTTATTATACTTTTTACCCTGCAAACTTCTTAAAAACAGAATAGTAATGATCCATTTAGCTGATACTAGGTTAGTGTCACATTGTACTGGTATATCATGTATACTGAACTGTAAATAAGAAACATCTAAATAGGTAAAATCACAGCATGAATCATTGGATTATGTAAGAAGTGCACTATCTTGTGCTTTGGTATGGTATTAATAATAAATGTTAAACTATCATTTTTTTTTCAAATTAACAAAGGATATGCTTGAGTGACTGTATTTTGACTAGCAGTAAAAATAAAATGATTTTTAAGCATTTGAATTATTTTGATTCATGGTCTCTGCAAGTTTAATGATAGCAAATATGCATATTGAACATGGCATCCACATATTGCTATACTGGATGGGGCATAACTTTTACTGAATCTTAATCACAACCTTGAAATTTTATGTAGTACATGTACTCTTGGTTTCAACTGGTCAAATGTATTCTTAAATCAGAAAGAATTTAAACAAATATAGGCATAGGTCAGAACTTCATCAATTAGTTGGAAAGCGAATGCACTCAGTGACTATATGGTTTAAAAGAAGCTTGGTATAAATAGCAGGAAAAACTACTTGAAGTCTACTGTGAACTTTGTGTCCTCAACAAAACAATATGGAGTATACTATACTTGGTTTAAAGAATAATCTATGTCTGCATTCACTTTTAGGTTAAACTGTTTTGGGCATTGAGAGTTTGTTTGTTGTTTAACGTCCCTCTGGAGAATTTTTCACTCATATGGAGATGCCAACACTTGCTGATGGAGAGCTGCAAATGAGCTATGCTCGGCACTCAGGGCCAATGGGCAGTGAGGGATCTTTTTCATGCCAGCATCTACTGCGACACTGGACCTCTGTTTGTACGAAGGACCGGTCTCTACGTCCAAAAGTGGGATTCAAACATGTGAGAAAAGGATCAACTAACTCCACGACTCTAGAGCATTGGCTCTTTCCACTGCACCACGTGGGCGACAGCATTGAGAGTTAAATGTGGATATCAGAACAAGCTACTCTGGGCTTATACTCTCTATATATTGATTGATTGTATGTTGTTTAACATTCCTCTCAAGATTTTTTCACTCAAATGGAGACACCACCACATGCCGGTGGAGATCTGCAAATTTTGTCCTATATCGGCACTTACGGCCATTGAGCATCGAGGGATTTTTTTCGTGCCAGCACCTACTGCGACACAGGACCTCGATTTATACGGTCTCATCTGAAGGACCGGTCTCCCCATCCCACAGTGGGATTTGAACCTGCGACGTAAGGATCAACTCCTTACTTCGCTACTCTAGAGCAGACGCTCTAACCACTGTGCCACTGGGGCAACTACTCTCTATTTAAGTCACTTGTGCAATGATAAACTTTAGTTTAATTCAACGTTTTGTACTGATCATGTTGAGTCACATTAGCACAAATATCTTTCTGCTGACCTTGACTAATGACCATCCGCAACTATTCTGGTTGGAAACAATATGTTAATTAATGCATAATAAGTGAAATTACTATGAAAGAAAAATGGTCTACTTAAACCACAAGTCATATTTATAAAAAATATACACTGGTCTCCTTAAGTCATATGAGAGAAACATAAAATATTAAGGAGACCATTTTTTTCATATATTTTTAGGAGGCATTTATTATGAAAAAATAAAGCAAGAGTCGACTAAATGGTGTTCTATAGATCTTTGATCTGGTATTTCTTTTTAGAAAAAAGCAAATTTAAAAAATTTGTATATTGTCTCCTTAAGCCATATATAATGGTCTGGTCTCCCTAGTCCTTAAATCAGAGTTATATATATATATATATATATATATATAATCATCTGATGATTACCCACGTGTGACTGGCTGTTCATGCTTACCTCTCTTCCTCTCGCTGCACTGCCATAATTCTGTTTCCTTCTCCGTCAATAAATACTGTTTATGGTCATTCTCCTCAAATGTCTCCCACCATCACTGTTCATGAATACAAAACACGAACGCACATTAGTGATGATAAAATCACCTCAGGGACAGATAAACTCAAGGTTGACAAAATATTATTCAGATTGGATAAAGAAATAATTGAGTGTATTCTTTCACCAAGAAAAAATCTTTCGAATGGATTTTTTCACCACGCGTGAGCATGAATAAGTCCTAAATCTGTCTGAGACCTCTGAATTTCTGTTCCCACCGTTCTGTTGTTGACACTTTTAGACCGGAAGTTGAATTCCGGATAAGTCGATCGTGATGGCTTTCCTGGAAAACGCGAGTTATTTAAAAATGCCATCATTCAGAAAAGAATATAATAATAAATAATGAATCTAAGCTCATGACTTATTGGGCGAATGATGCGAATGTCTTGTCTTATACTTTGTGTTTCTTCTTTCTCTTTTTTCATTCTTTCTATTGGGGGGGGGGTTACTATTTACGATAAATGATAAATTTCTGTTTTCATATTCTCTTTAGAGAAGTGGATAGGCCAAAACCTGTCCACTTCTCTAAAGTGAATACTTTCTTTCATTGCTCTCATTACTTCTTAAACACACTTTTGCACCATAAACCAAAGTACATATATCCCCAGTCCTGATTTATTTTGCCAATGTGTGTCATGTGAAGATCTAACCCCCCCCCCTTTTTTTTGCAAACATAACCTTTTACAGTTAAAAATGTTCATTGATTGGCCCCCACTTTTCGTTGGAGTAATAGTCAAATCAGTACAGGTTTAAGTTATAGTTTTTGCGATAGTGAAGGTCAAGAACTAGTAAATGAAAGGAGCAGCCTACAGATTTCTTAAATTAGAGACATGAATTCCTTTAATGGTGCTTTATAGCTATAGCTTGGTCAAATAAGGTGTATGGGGGCATGATTTGTAAGTGAACAAGACGAAAAATCATATTTAAATTATTGTTTTCACTGAAAAATTAAGAAAATCGGTCATGATTTAGTCATGAATATGCCGGGAGTTTTTTGGGGTTTTTTTTTCGTTATCAGACAAAGGAAATGTATCCAAATTACCTACAGTCTCTCAGAAAACGGTAATTTATATGTTATTAGCCTCTTCTTTAAAAAAAATCATTAATTTGAATTTAGGTATCGGGATTACTTTTCACATATTTTCAAATCGAATTCCATGAAAATATATACTTTATTTTCTACATAATTCTATTGTAGCCGTAAAGTACGGGGTATAAAAAATTAATTAAGTTTAAATTGATTAGCCGGGGACCTACATGTTATTTACTGTAGATTTCTGGTTTAGATACTATAGACATTTATATAATTATATACATAGGTGGCCTGACTGTTGATCACGTAATATTTCTCGTCTGTCCGGGTTTTAGAATGGCAGGTAAATTACCAGATGGTATAAGTATTTTGTTTTTTTATATTTGATGTACAAATGATGTCAAAAAAGAACTTTCACATATCACCCTCCCCCAACCCCTCAAATTCTGTAATAAAATTCGATTATTTTATTAAAGGTTAATTTTATAAAGAAACATATTATTCGCCATTAACAGTGTGCATTTTATTAATTTCAAAATTCAATCTAGTCCCGTAAATATTAAAGCAGTAAGATTCCGGTAATCTAATGGTTATTTTACATAAAAATTTAATTTATGGCCGTCCGGACCCCCTTCCTCTGTTAGATCTATGCACGTTTGCTATGTATACGCCCGCAAAAAACAAAAAAAAAACAAACAAAGAAACAAACCACAGATACTTGTGGACAGGACCCCTCCCCCCCCCCCATTCAACCCCGATGTTTGTTGGACATTTTTTTCACAAATTATATTTATTACACTTATTCATCATGTGTACCATAGGAAAAAATCGTAAAACCCCAAAAATAATCGTTCCACACAAAAATACCCCACTATACATTATAAGAGAGAAAGGTATGCCATGCTGTTTAAGGAGAAATTGTGGGATTCTTACGAGATGCAAAGTCAATCCGATAGCATGAACTAAGACAGAAATATGTAGAGACAGTGTGAACCGACATTTTAGGTTGAAATAAAATATAAACGTGTTTTTTAACCCAGGAAGACCAGTGGGGGTACAACGTAAACAAAATGGAGTGGCATACCTTTCTCTCTTATAATGTATAGTGGGGTATTTTTGTGTGGAATGATTATTTTGGGGTTTTCACGATTTTTTCCTATGGTACACATGATGAATAAGTGTAATAAATATAATTTGTGAAAAAATCTCCAACAAACATCGGGGGGGAATGGGGGGGGGGTCCTGTTCACAAGTACCTGTGAAACAAAGAAACAAAAAAATACAAGCGGAACTTTAGCGTTTTAAAGCAAAACTAACATACGTTAAAAGAATAATTTATATTAACTTTTTTTTATTAACGGGGTGTAAATTCACAAATTGATTTATAATAATACGTTCAAGTTGTATAATTTGAATTATAGTACGCAAAAAATCTTATTTTCATTTTCCCGTCATTGTTTATCCCTTATTTTCATACATATTCTATGCAACCATGTACTGTTATTAAGAAAAACATACCAAGTGACTTTAAGAAGTAAGAGTCACCATATATCACCTATATTTATAATACATCTTCTTTTTATCCTGGTAAAATTATTAAACTTTAAGATGAAAATGAGAAAGTCTAACCGAGAACGAGCATTGCAATTTTTTCTGGTAATCACCCTGCGTTGGGGATCGAAATCGCCATTCATAGAATTTATTTTTATCGATATATTCGGGTCGAGGCAAGTTGAACATTGTCACAAAACGTGGACATGTTGATAAATAAGAACTTAAAACATGAAACAGAAGAAGACATGAAACGAGGGGGGGGGGGGGTGATCTTACATCATAAGTATACTGTATTTATAATATTTAATAACATATTATAATTGTACATTTTTTCATATTCATATTAAAGCTGGAACAGCATAAGTAAAATTTATTTCAGGTCCGCGTAGGAACAGGATGGAGGGAGGGGTGCGGATGGTGTGCGGGTGCCCCTATGCAATATTTTTTTTCCCAAATATATACTTTATTATAGAACACAAAGCTAATTTACAGTTGTGTGTTGTGTTCCCTCAGTTATTGTGCGAGTACATATACTATATTGACATTAGGAAATTAAGTCAGTTGACTGTGTTGTGCCCCTATACTTTTTATTGGGTAAGTGAATTAACAGATCTGTACATGACGTGGTTTCGGAATAAATGGGAAGGAAACGAGTGGTTGATTCTGGAGTTCATAAATTATTATTATTTTTTTTTTTTTACAAATCTTGAGACTACATCCTCTGAATACTCAAAGAATGCAATAATATGGGTTTCTGGATTTCTTTTTTAAAAATGTTCATTTTTAAATAAGAAAATAACTTTTGAATATTTGAACAGTGATTTCTAAGTAAGAGATATATGTATTAAATATCTTCAATGCTTCATCGTGATTTTTTCACAATTTTTTTTTAGCACTGTATGTGAGGATAATCTTTAAGGTTTTTAGTTCGAAAAACATTTATTAACTGTAAATTAATTATAATTTGCAATTAAAAAATACAATGTGATCTCCAATTCTATTTTTAGATTGCAAATTCGATATCAGGTTAAAGGACAACATTTTAAATATTACACACACACACACACACACACACACACACAAAATAATCTTTATCGTGCACACGTGAGAAAAAATAGTCTCCCAAGATTTTATCTTATAAATATGTGACCAAAAGACTTTTGTTGCACACCGTTAAGGCTAGCGGAAACATCACAAGCTTAACTGTATCCTTCCGTGCGTTTCCTCTTCTCTCCGGGTTAAAAATAATTATAGACTAAGACACGTGTTTTTTTTTTTGTTTTTTTTTTAACGTTTGTCCGGTGTAAAATCTAATTCCTGTCGTTGCCACTAAGCGGAAAATATCGCTTTTATCTATATGTACATCTGTTGAAATCTTTAAGACCATGGTCAGAAAATACATGTACATCATTACAACCATGTTAAATACTTTATGTTCTAAATTTATGACGCATGTCCACATTTTAATTCAAAATAAAGACATAATTTTAATTTATACAAGAAGCCGGGCTTTCTGTAAATAAACAAAGAAGTTATTTTTCATAGTAAAAACCACATTTAGAATTCAGATGTGTCATCTTAAAAATATTGCAATTAAAGAATGACTTTTATTAAGACAGTTTCTAAACATTATACAACTGACAGTTAAAATGAATTGAAATTCCGAGCCGTGGATTACGTTTGATAACAAACGATGCTACTCGATATGACAAACGAATAAGTCCAAATTTGTCAATCCATGCTGTTATATAAAATACAATTTGTGTGCACCGAATAACCATGTTAAAAAGAGTTCCACGTGATTTTTCTCAATGCCTGTAATATATGTTCCTCATTGCCGGGCCCAAAGTGATTTGACGTTGTTTTTTTTTCCGGTCCCAATTTCTGCAAATCCTGCAATGGGCTAACAAAACTTTCTTCTCATTCATAAAAAGCGGGGGGGGGGGGGGATCTAGATTAAATGCAGTTACATTACAGAAATATTTTTAAATTTACAAATAAATCATACCAATGAAACAAACATGTAGGACGCGGGGGAGGGAGGAGGCACAGGGACCGTGCCCCATCTCATTTTTTTTTTTTGTTTGTTTGTTTTTTGCCGTTTTTGTCTTGTTTTTGTCTGTATGTTTATTTGTTTGTTTGTTTTTTTTGGGGGAGGGGGGTGTTTGTGTGTGTTTTCTTTTCTTTTTTGTTTTGTTTGTTTGTTTGTTTTTTATTTTGTTTGTTTTTTTTTTTTTTGCCAATGTACCGTAGAGGGCACTAGGCTACTTATGGTGTCCCCTCAATAATTATCCGATGTCGGACCTTTTTCCGGGCTTGACGTTGTCAAGGAATTTTGTTTGGTACTACACCAACCCCCAACTTAAAATGTTTGACGTGGTCCTCCCCAAAACAAAAAACAAAACAAGACACTAAAATTGCTTCCTACTGCCTGCCACTACAGTGTATACATCAAAAAGACTTCAAACCTACTTCTATCAAGAAAGCATGCAAATTAATAAATTTGAATGTTATCTGATTTTAGAATTGTACGTAGATCTTAGAGAATTATCAGAAACTGTAATAAAAAGGTATTGAAAATGTTTAACTAAGATTTCATATATATTTTGTTCACTAATAAATAATAAAATATGCAAATTATTCAAATAACGGTATAAAAGGTATAAGCCCCGCCTACTTATGATTATTCAAATTACTTAGTTTCTAGATCACCGTCTGTCATTTTATGTTTTGACTTTATTCGCAATAATTCCATCCGAAAACTGAAAGAATTATAAACTCCTGTCTTATTTACACAATGTTTAATTCATGTATTTACATAAATATCCTTACAATGTCTAGAAAAATCTTTTCATTATTTACATTTTGAGGATTAGAAACTTAATTTACAAAGCGGAAATGAAGGGCAGTGGGCCAAAATACGCAGAAGAGCAGATCCGAGCCATCAGGAGCAGACGTGGCGGACGAGGAACATTGTAACTCCCCCTTCCAACCATATTTACGTTATTTTATTGATGGGGGATTACGGAGTTGCAGTTGCCACTAACATCGGAGGATTTTCGTCGCTGAATTCAAAGAACATTTTACAAAGTAAGTCCATATTTAACCCTGATCCGCGTACAATGCAAGATGAAAACATACACGAGAAAACCACATCTCAGCATCAGCAACTCACACAAGTCGTGGCAGAAAACGGAAATGTACATGGTTCGGAAATCAGAAACAAATCGGATGCAAGTACTTTATCAGAAGAGAAGAAAGCCGATTTATTGACTTCTGTGAGCTCTACACAGGCGCACGGTACCGTTATGGAGACTATTTCGTCAACAGCTGTTGTGTCATCAGGGACTTCTGGCTCAAGCTTATGGACAAACCAGCCTTCTGAGGAAACTGTAATACCGGCATACCACTCACTTAACGGGACTTTAACAATGTCTCAGTTTCCAGCGGTTCATAATAACTTCTACAGTGCAGGAATTGCCACCCATATGGGGTTAAATATGACACAGCAACCTCCACCTCCCCAAAGGAGAGCGATAACAGGGCATCATAACTTCCCAGCTCGTCAACAACAGCCAGGAATACTGATCAACAACAATTCTAAGGGCTACCCAAACTGGAGCAATGCTCCACAGTGGTCCCACTCCCAGGGCCAGGGCCAATCATGGGGAAATATTCACTCCACGCAACACCAGAGGCGGTCCGTGCCAAACTTCCCCTCCTCACTCAATACAGCATCTTTTCAGATGAAGAAGTCCCCTGTGTCGTACCAACAGCAGATCACCAACACTGCTCCCCTAATAGCTCCCTCCCGATTCCGTAGGAGCACTTCATTTCCCGGTCAAATGCACCAGGCCACAATGCTAAAACCAGGTCTGGAGATTGGAAGTGTTGATGATACACACAGAGAGTCTATGTTATCATACCAGGTATGTCAAACATTTTATTTTTTGATATATATATATATATAATTATGAATTCACAGTGCTTGATATATGTATTCTAAACACACAAAACTCTTCTTTGATATTCTGACATAGTGTGGTAGTGATTTTCTTACGTGAAACTATCATACGAAATGCAGTTTGCTCCAGGCTTTGAAAAATATTGGAGATACAATAGCTGATTATTGAGTATTTTCTCATAAATTATGACAAGATGCAGATGTTTTCTGTAATGAAGAAAATATGTGTTATCAAACTGCCTGTATCTGAAAATCATCTCTGATGTCGAGAGAGAAACAAAAAATAGATCTATGGAGGCCCCAAACACAAGCTGGTACACTGTGTGATATGTAAAATGCAGAAGCAATATGTACGCCCTATCTAGCTCCTGAGGTGAATTTAACAGATGAAGATTCGCCATTCAAATATTGCACCTGGTGCCCGCTTGGGCAGCATTTTCTGCATTCCAACAATCAATTTCCTGGCAGTGCCAGCAATTTGGAAAAATGTTGAGCAATATGTGACATTGAGGCTCTGAATGAATATTGCGTGGGTCGTCGTCCTCTATTGATTTCGTACCCCAGAATCTTGTTTGATTATTACACTGCTCCAATCAATAGACTACAGAACAGATGTATACATGTCTCTGTTTGTTTTGATGCTAATCAATTGAGTATTGACACCTCATTGGTAGCGTTTGTCCTGTATAGAGGCTTATGAATGCTGTATATTTGATTCTTGTTTAATTTTGACAGATGTTGCTCTGGGATCAATACCTACATATGGTAGATGAGAGAATATGAAATCAAACTCCGAACTCAAGCCCCCTTAAACCATGCCAGTTTTAACTGTTTTATGCCAGCAAAGGCTAAAAATCAATAATTACATGATGTAACTCTTGGCTCCTTTAATGCAATTAAGAGCATGAGGTTTTTGATAAGTATCTAAGGGGCAAGCTGGAGAATTTTATGTATTCATCATACAGTATAGTTTTCATTTTTATGTACCAAGGAGATAACAAACAGCTCGTTTAACATACACCAGTAGCTGTAATGTATTACTGTACTGTTGGTCATAACTATAGTGAAAGATTTATGGGGAGCTATTGGCTTATTGATTCTAGTAATTTAATGCATGGTCACTCAGAGTCATTGACCTTGAGGTCCCTGGTGTGTAGTAATAGACACCCTCCCCCAGGACAGAAGTTAACCCCATGTGTTGTTAATGGAAACATGTACCAAGGTCTAGACAAATCTGTACCTTATGGGTTTATAGAACAGGGGGTTGTAATTGTTATATCTGGCTTAATTGGGTGTGTCATAACAGATGCTGATAACATTCTGATAACATCAGGAGAAAAGAGAGAGAGAGTTTATATTGAATAAGTGAAACAAAGGACACAGGGACAGTGATTTGAATTTGTATATATAATCACAAAAATCTAGCTCTCCTAAATTTTACATGGAACGTTCTGTACTCAAATATTGTTAAAAAAAAAAAACTTAATAGTTCAATTTGTTCTGCCTCTCTTTTACAATTTTACATGTACTTTAATGAACATCTGGTTATATTATTAAATTTTAAATGTGTTATCATATTTTTTCACCTTGCAATATCATTATTATGGAATTTAGGATAGGGGAATAATTAGGTTGTATTATTATCAAATTTTCTTGTCCGTAAGGAATCGTCCAGTATACAATTTTGAATTATTTACCTTTTACATCTCTGGCCCTTTATCTGTAACCCAGTTCTGTGTTTGGGTTACACACTGGGTTGACCTGTTCAAAAGTCTGCCAATACATTAAATAATCTTTTTACTTGATAAATGTTCTGAGTTATTTATTCCATCAAATAAGAACAAGGTGTGAGCTATTTATAAACCTAATGCACACCAGACTTTGTAACAAAACAAGTTGTTGGATGTGAGCTCCTGAGATCTATCTTATTGTTTACTAGATCATGTTTTTGTCAGATTTTGTTTTGAAGTCCAGTTTGTAAGGAAGAAATCATCTTGGAAGTCCAGCTAAAACTCAGTCTATCTTCACCATTTTTCCATTCAGTCTATTTTTTAAGGATTGAGGATGGAAATCAAATGGCTGGAATATCCAGATTTGATATACAAGTAAAAAATCTAAACTTGGTAAAGAGGAAGAAATGATTAAGTACTCAGAGTTAGGTCAAAGGTCTAGTGCTATACTAAAGTATGAATCAGAGAAGAAGAAACCTACATAACGGTCAAGGACTCAGGCATTCAGGTTGTCATACAAGTATGATATATTTTATTTGTTTTGTTTTGTTTTGTAAGTGTTAGAAAGGCAGATGGAAATATCAGGGGTCAAAATGTATTTTCATGCACCATAATTAGGCCTAGGTAAATAAATGAGTGTTTTGGGTTCCCACACAGACCCTAAATTATATGAGCTGACCCTGAAAATGTTTCTAATGTATGCTTCTTGGAAGTAGACCATTCTGGTTTCACTATTAGAAATGAAGTCCTGTAGATAGAAAAGTATTTGTATCTTAGTATATATGATGTAATGAGAAACACTTAAATTACAGTAAAAATCAATTATTGTTAAATAGGGAGGGGGGTGGTAAATAAAACTGGGTGAGAAAGTACATGTAGTTGGAAAGAAAGATGGGTGGTGACAAAATAGAATAAACTGAAGAGAGAAAGGGGGGGGGGGGGGAGGAGGAGAAACATCAGTCCTATTCTATTCTATTCAATCACTGAAAATACAGATTGAAAAATCAAATTCAGGGCATATGATGTGAAGTCAATGAATTGATTAATTAATTGGGACAGCACTACTGAAAATGTGTTGCATCCCCAATACTGTGCATGTTTGTATAGAATTAATATAATTGATACATTAATTTTGTTTTACAGGACAGGAGTAACTCGTATGACAGTATGAGGTTTTCGAACTTTGAGAATCAGCTCCTTGACATCATGAGGAATTCTGGGGATCATGCAGATCCACTCAAAGGTTTGTTACCAGCTAAAATAGGAACAAACACTTCATTTCAAAAAGTGTCAAGCTTTGTCACCAGTTAGAAGTCTTTCCAGCCCTTTAGTGGGTTGACTTGTTATAGGGGTAACCAAAATGATAGTTATATAATTTATGGATCCTTATGAAATTGGTTGATATAAATTCCTTGATAAAATGCTTGTACCTTTTTCAATGTGGTGGCCATTATGGGTGTTCCAAAAATGCCCAGTAGAAATCCTATAGCAGGTAATGAAAAATATTAATTTTCAAAGAACTTAAATAGGAAATGAGAAATATAACCACAAGATTCCATGATTGATGTGTTTAGTGTGAAATTTATAAAGCATGTTTCAACCATCTAAAATAAATGGTGAGTTGGCAGGTTAAAAGTGTGACATCTGCAAATGCTTGAAATGACACAAAAGAGATTCTGATAATTAATGAAATGAAAATAAAATATATGCAAATGAGAAATTATTACAAAAAAATAACCCACATGCTAATTAATATAAAATGATTATGAAATGTTTCAAATATAAGTATTTATTAATTAGCTCACCTGAGACAGACAATAGCATTTATAAAGCAAAAATTACTTCAAAACCTAGTTCATCAATTATAATATATATTCAACTACATGACGAAGTGAACTCTGGTTTTTATCCTTTCAGTTAATTTCTCAGTTCTGATACAGAATAGAATCAAAGTAAATAAACAGTGCTAATGTTGCCCTCATTACATGTACCCACATAATTTTGACTTGACTTTCGGCATTCATCTTCAGTTCATTCTCAAATCTATTAAATTTCTCAAGTGCTTCTTGATTTTCATGCTTTTTAATTAGTGTAATTATAATTAAAATTATCATTACTGTCATTTTGCTGTAATTTTCTTGTGCTGATTTATTTTTCTATAGTATATTATACAGTTATTTTTTTGTAAATTATTTAAAATGTCTAAAGTTCATTTCCATATTCATATTGTTGTGCGTAGATCTTGTATATATCGTAGGATTCAAGAATATGTGATGATCTTCCTTTCTTCTCCCTATGTTATTATGTCAGACACTTTATTACAATAAAAAAGATTCCGAGAAAAATAGCTTTACAAAAAAAAAATGTTGCATTAAATGTAAACTGGAAATAAAAAGATAATCAGCTAATCTTGAAGTCACTTCGTCTTGAAACCCTTGCAATAGGAGAGGTTTATATGGTGAAAATGAATATGGAAATGAACTGTGGAACAGTTTAACATGAACCATTTAAAAGTATTATATATAAATATATATTTTTTTTTTTTATATGAAATTTTTAGGCAACAGTCAAAAGATAGGGGTATAAGTTACAAAGTGTGTATTAAAATTTTTTTGATAACATCCATTTATTAAAGATTTTATAGCATGTGACATGATTAGTTTTGAATCGGACAGTTATACTGAAAGAAGCCTCATTTAGATTGAAAATAACAATGAAAATTCTGTGGCTGACATTACATCACTGACAAACAACAACATGACGTAAGCCTAACCCATTTATCAGAGAAAAAGCTGTATGCATTGACTAAAACATTTGAAGGACACAACCATTGCTAACACTTTGATCTTGTACAAAATGTTCAGCGTACATCATTATTTTACTGGTGTGATGCAAGTTTGAATGTGACATCTACTACTGGAGTCCTTTATATCCATGACCATGGAGTTGTAATGCATTACCATATATTTAACTTGGTAATGAGAAACAGTCAATTTAGCACAAAACTTTTTTTTGTTAGAGGATAATCAGGGATCTCAATTGAAGGAAAAATAATTCTGGAATTAAAAAAAAAGTAAATTAGAGTTAAAGATCGGCCAGAATGAGGCAATGTTTAGGAATATATCTGTCAGATATGTTTAAAATGGTGTAATGCTACATCAGCCATAGACCTCTCATAAGAGAACATTCAAGCTAAAGGAAGAAGCAAACTCTAAAAGGGGAGAGAAAGACAATTTCTACTACATGTACTGTTATTGCAAAGATCAAACAAATGCAAAGGCTTTATTCTCCAATAATTCACAAACGTCATCATCAAACTATTAATAAATTTGAATCCATTTCCTCTAATTTTGACTGTTTTCGCTATGAAAAGGATAGAGGCATCTTTAGATGATGTTGGTGGGAAAATATTTATTTTGCCTTTGGATTATACATGACACTTTTTCTAATGCTTGAAATACACATGAAGGAGGAGTAGCATTCATTTGTGACATCATAGGACACTTCTGATGATGTCCAAATCTAGCTTCTGCTTTTTTCTACATAGAAGTTTAAATATTAACCATAGCAGAATAGAAATGTTTCTCCTGTCATCAGAATTGTTAGAGGATATACCCCTCAGTCTCGAGATTTTGTTGGCAAGTAAAAAAAAACATCCTTCGTGTTCAGTTTTCTTTTGACAACAAAATCTCTCAATTATTGGGGTACACTAGTATTCTCCAACAATTCCTCAGACACAGGAATTATTTTTTAGATAAAATGTTATTCCTCACCACAAGGGATCTGTAATGAGAATCAACAATTCATAATAGCATACTAATTTTCTTATTCCTGATTTGCAGGAAAGCCAACATTTGGATTTGGAGAACTAGATGAAGAGACACTGGATCCGAATTTGTCTGTACTGGGGTGTGGACCGCGGGGATCACCTGGGTCCCAGGGGGAGAGGATTGAGCGCTTCTCTAGAAAGGTGTTTGTAGGTGGACTTCCTCCTGACATTGATGAAGGTTTGTGTGCTCTCTATAGAAAGGAATGTTATACATGTCAACTGTACAAGTAGAATATGTTGTGGTGTTTTTACTTTCACTATGTTTGCAATCAAAGAGTTTTCAGTGAAAATTAAGTCATCGTGAATATTGTTGACATATGAATGTATAAATATTCAATTACAAATACAACTGAACACTTTAAAATCCTGTTTTTCTATTTTGTAATGTTCAGTAAAACAAAACCTGAGTTTAATAACAGTAGTGTTACTTAGTGAATCGGTTTATTTTAAATACTTCACTATAAATTTCTTTGTTTTTAAAAAAATAAAAATTAAAATTGCAAATACATTGTAAAGAAAAATTCAGTGATTGTAAAATTAGACCACCATCAAATGTACCAACATGGAAAATTGTGAACTGTTAAACGAGTGAAATTAAAGATGTTTACAGTATTTTTAAGATAAACAGAATGCATAATGGGAGAGGGGTCGTGTTTCAGGTACAGGTACTATGTGTGAAGATTAGAACAAAATAGGCCATGAATAATTTATAAAGATTTTTAGTCTGTGAAAACCGATTGGGTTAAAATCATGAAAGAAATATACAACTTTGTGAAAAAAATGACAATCTTGTTGTAAAGGTGCAAACTAAAATATTACATTTAAGTGGCAAAAGACACATTTATTATAAGATTTGCTTTTTTCAAATTTTTCAGTTTTCTGCAACTTTTTGTTAGAGAAAAACTATTACCTTCCATTTAAAAAAAGCAATGTTGGAAAGTGATCAATTTACCAATATCTTAAGGTGTAATTGCAGTCAAATTAAGCAAAGTTTATGAATTCCTAGCTTTTCTAAGACTTGTACCTATTCTTTTATAAGATATTCTCCAAGAAGAAATGTTTCATAAACCTTTTTTCTTCTAAACTGAGTATCTTGTAGTTTGCTTATACCTAATATTATATATACTAACCTATTTAAGCACATCTGCCAAATGTATTAAAATATTTAAAAGTGTTGTTACAGTAGTTGCTGACTATCGAAAAAATTGTCGTTGATGGCAGCACATTGACGACCATCGATAGAAAATCGATAGTCGCTAATATTTTTTTAAAATACATTTTTTAAATAAAATGGTTTATCTTTTAACATTATCAAATGATGTTCCTCAATGTTTCTTGTGATTGGCGCACACAAATTTTCCCACTAGGCATTAATGGAAGTTGGTCTCACGTTTTTATTGAAATATCGTTTTCATTTCTGAGGATATCTGAATATTTTATGGTTAACTTTATTTAATTTAACCTTTAAATTAAAGTTCAAATTATCGATCACATAATCGATTGTATGCTTCAGATTCAATTTGATAATCGATAGTAAATTTGGTCCAATTTTGCAACACTAATATCTAATCAATCAAGTTATTTTGTTGCGGGTTCTAACCCATTAAAAGAAAATTCAAGAAAGGGTATGAGGAATTCTTAAAAAGTGACCACCCAGAATTTGAGCAGTCCCTGTTTATTTTATTTTATTGATACATTTTGTTGATGTTTTTGTTTGTTATTTTTGGCACCATGGGCCTAAAATGTTAAGCAAAAGTTCCACCTTGTGAAGAAATTGACTTCTGCTTAATTAATTGTAGAGGAAATTACGGCTGCATTCAGAAGATTTGGGCCCCTGGTTGTGGACTGGCCCCACAAAGCAGAAAGTAAATCCTACTTTCCTCCAAAAGGTATATACACAAACCTTTTATGAAGTACCTAGTATATCAGATATCAGATCTGTAATAATTAAATAAACAAAGGATGAGTCACAAACTGAATGATGTTAATTTGTTTATGCAAATTTAATGAGCTGCATTTCAGGTGGATTAAAATGATAAAAAGGAATTTGTAAATGTCATTTTATTTTCATAAGACGAGGTTTTTCATAAGACAAGGTTTTCCCAAGGTATAGACAAAACAAGTCTAATGTATATTATTAGTCATCCAGGTTCAATCAAGGGAGTAAAGGGATTTACCCCGAGTTGTATTCCATACACCCTTCTGCCTCAGGGTGTATGGAATACAATCCGGGGTGAATCTCCATACATCCTTGATTGGACCTGAGTAACGAATTTATTTCCTTTGTAACCAAATAAATTCTTTGCAAACTCAAGTTCAATCAATGGCGTTTCAGACTATCGATATGATTTACCATGCTACAATGCAGCCTGATGTCATGTTATTTGCTTTTTGTTACAGAGAAACTATATATGCATTGTGATGTCGCATTATTTACCCCCGGCTCAAGCTGTGTGTACAGAAATTTACACCCAGCCTCAGACCTGCCTACCCTTCCGCTTTTGGCGTAATTTTTCCGCTTTTTACCACCAAATTACACTGTTACGCCATGAAAACTAATTTTACGCTTTTAAATATTGTTCCTAAACAACTTAGTGAAAGGCTAACTTTGGAGTTAAAGTAAAGGCTTTCCTAAATGAAAACGAGAAGGTAATTAATACTAATTAATAGAGGGTTTCGGTTCTTCACGATATGCTTATTTACGATACAAACAACATGCGTAATATACCTTGTAGTTATGCCTTTTATACGGGTGGCATGATAAAATTAAGGAAAAAAAACTTTTGAATGATGTGTGCAATAAGTAAAGTCAGTTTAATTTTCAATTCGGTTTATTATTACTTTGCTTAGAACAACATAGAGACAAGTAAATGTAAGAAAAACAACGAAATAGTGGAATAATGTAGAATTTGTATTAATATGGAATTGAAAAAATTATGTGATTTGCTAAAAAACGTTCATTAGGAATGTAAGTTATATAAGTTTGATATGACTGCATTTAGGATACCAGTTTTTACAACAAAGGGATTTTTTCTCTATAAATGATTTGAAAAAGAAACATTCATGCTTGCTTTGTTCAATGATGTACAATATTCAGGTTTATTTAGACAGTATTGTATCATTGTAAAACACCAAACTAGGGAAACATAAAGGATTACGCCTTTACCTCTGAAATTCCACCTAATTGAGTATTGAAATTACACCCTCGCAATGAAAAGGGTAGGCAGGTCTGCAGCCTGCTAACCAATCATATCTCATGTTACTTTTATTTATTAGAGACTATTGCTCTTTGTTTGTGATGTTTGTTTCTGTCTGTTGTAGGCTACTGTTTCCTGTTATTTCAAGATGAGGTGTCTGTCCAGGCTCTGATAGAACACTGTATTGTGGATGATGAGAAGCTGTATTGGTGTGTCTCCAGTCCCACAATGAAAGACAAACCAGTAAGTAATCTCTTCATGTAACTAAACAGCTGGACAGATGATACAAACAAAGATATGAATGCCTAGATTTATATATATGTTTATATATTCTTAGACCTATTTTGGTTGTAAATGATGCAAATGTAATTATCAAATTTCTAAAATATTACCAAATTGTAAACTTTCTATGATGTTCAAAATTCTACCTTGCTGCAATATTCCTTATAAAGCTATACAATTTTTTAATCACTATGTAGGACATTATTTCAAAACTTTTAAATGAGAAATTAAGATCTATACAGTTAAACTTTTTTACCTATATATTATAAACATGGTTCTAGTTGTTATTTTCATGATTTTGAAAAAAAAAAAAGTTTGTATCACACGTCCTTAAAATGGCAAATAATGAGTATGTAAGAAAAAAAGTGAAAAGTTTCATGATACCATGAAACAGTAATACCGGTAGATGATATTTCGTGATTGGATATGGTCAAATGGGTGAGTAAATGGTTATGATTGTATGTGGACTAACTGGTAAGTTACAAGGTCATGATTGTATAAGGACGGAGTGGTAAAATTCTAGGTCATGATTGAATATGGACTAATTAATAAATTCCTAGGTCAAGATTAAGGACAAGAGGTAAGATAACAGATAATGGTTGTTTAAGGATTAAATTCTTAATTACTAGGTCATAATAGTTTGGGGGAGGAAGGTATGCAAAAATCACTTTGTCTCTCTGTCCAATCTTGTTTGGGCTATAACTTTGTAATGGAGAATCATTGGAAGCTCATACTTGGTAAAAAGATTGTTTTTGACCTGAAGGTGTGTCATGTCCTTGACCCTAGGTCATTATGCCAAGTTCAGGTCACTGGTAGAAAAAGTATAAAATGATTGACAGCAGTTAGTGATATCTGACTACTGTGTGAAATGCATCTCATTTTTTTATGCATTGTCTGTCAGAAGAAGGTCAAATGCCTCATTAGTTTGGCACAATTATCAACAAGTCCATTGCTCCCAAGGATACATATAAAATTTGTGTTTGGGCTATAACTTTGTATTTGAGAATCATTGGAAGCTCATACTTGGTACAAACTTACAAAGATTGTTTAAAACCTGAGGGTTTTGTCATTACTTTGACCCAAAGTCATTTTAGAAAGTTCAAGGTCACTGGCAAAAAAAAGTATAAAAATGTTCCTTTGCCCATGGATGAATATATAATTAAGGCCAAAGTTTTTTTTTCACTTGGTTTACGATTCCGCCGACCCTAATTTTCACCAATCATGAAAATAAAAAAAAATGTCTTTTCCCGACATATTTTTCCGGATTTTTCTCAGCTGAGCTGGTGGGTTTTAAATTTTAGAATGCATCTTAGTCAAATAAGCGTTTATAAATTATATAGAACTTTACAAACATTTAGGTGACCGTAAATAAACACATGTGCAAACCAAAAATGGCGGTTCTGTCATGTAATAAGGTAATTCCTCACTGAAAGCAATGACACACACTTAAAGAACTTTTTCTGCATGGAAAAGTGAATAAAATCTTGGATGCATGATCCCTTTCTCCAATTGCAATGTCTCAATTGGCTAAATTCATACAGTAATATTGAGAAGTGTATGCCCAACCCTGATCGACCTAACAGACATACACCTATAGATAACAGGGATTTATCAGTGCCTTCTCAGGGGCCGAAATTCGGCCCCATTCCCAATTGAAAATGAGTTCAGTTTTTCCCAATTTGGCAGTATTTTTCCCAGTTGGTGAACACTGAACAATGCTTTTATTTTTAATTATCTTGGAAAAAAAACAAAGTAAAATTGTCAGATTGTCTTTAATTTTCATCTATTTAACTCATTTATTAAAGCTACAGTCATAACACATGTTTAAAAACACTGTAAAAACATCGCCAACTTTTAATCCGAATTTCCTCCGTTTTTCTAAAAATGATGATATTGTGTAATTATATAGATTTATTAAGTTATTTCCACCTACTCAATTGATCTGCGAGTGAATGGTAAGGACTTTAGGCATTATTTCAGATAGAAAAATATATTTTCAATGCATTAATACATATTAAAAGAGGACTTTTAGAAAATGTGTACTTAGTATAATTTTTGCAGGAGGTTTATAATCTCCAGAAACAGATTCACTATAATGACCTAAATTGAAATCTCATACACACATGTACTTGTACTACCATAAGTTTTATAAATACTTTATACTCATTGAAGTCCATTTTACTTTTATTAGTCTATTATTCATAATTGATCTTGTATGATGAAGATGGATCATATTTAATTGTCGTTTGGTTGCCCAAATTAGAGTTCATGCTGAAATGTTAAATGAATTACCCCTGAATACATGATTTAGCAACATTTTAAATTTTTTTTCCAATTTCATCAAATAGACAATAATTTGTTTACCCATTCCCCAAAAATGGCATTTCCCAAAATAGGGAGATAAATCCATGCATGATCAAATTATTATAACCTTTATTTCAACGTCAATTACTTTTAATATTGTTAAACAATTAAATTGTATTTTTCTTCAATCTAAATTAAACTTAAATTTGGATCCATATTTTTAGTTTGTGGGGGTACTGAGGTTTATAACACATCACATATCACTGAAGAGCATATAAAGAAGTTGAACATCATGAACCAAGCACTGATTGACATACAAAAATCAGAACTAAATGAAAATGACATTCAGTCTAAAGTTAGAAATGAATTAAAATTAAATAAAAAGAGTTATGTGATCTAGACAATAAAACTTAAAAGTACTACGTGTATTGATGTGTATTATTTTTATTAAAATAAACATTGCTGGTATTTTAAAATGAAATTGTTGAATCCTAAATTATTTTTATTTTTATTTTTCGACCGCCCAATGCAATTTTTTGAGACAGAAAATCGTAAACCAAAAAAAATAAAAACTTTGGCCTAATGGAAAACTTGGTGTGTTTAGGTTATTGATATTGATAAAGCTATTTATCAGTGGAGAGAGCAATCTATTTATCAGTGGAGAGAGCAATCTATTTATCAGTGGAGAGAGCAATCTATTTATCAGTGGAGAGAGCAATCTATTTATCAGTGGAGAGAGCAATCTATTTACCAGTGGAGCGAGCAATCTATTTATCAGTGGAGCGAGCAATCTATTAGTAAACAACTTATCTGATATTAAATGGTATTTAAAGAAATAATTCATTGATTAACCTGTCTGAGATAAAAATTACTAATGATGATAATAATAATATGTTTTTAACAAAACATGTTGACAAAGTAATGAATAAAATGTAATGTATGTATCGTGTGAAAGGTACTCTGTCATGATTTAACAAACAGATACTGTGGACATGCAGTATACTGATAATACAGGGTCATGAAATCTGACAGAGTGAAGTCTATAAAGTATATATATCTCCAACAAACTGATAAACTGAAAACATAGAACTGTGTATATTGAATATTTCAGCTGGTTTTGATTGACAGCAGTTAGTGATATCTGACTACTGTGTGAAATGCATCTCATTTTTTTGTGCATTGTCTATCAGTAGAAGGTCAAATGCCTCGTTAGTTTGGCACAATTATCAACAAGTCCATTGCTCCCAGATATCATGGTGAGAAACTATCCGCCAAAGGTATTTGGCCTTGATGCCTTATAAAATACAGTTACTACATCTGTATCTGAAGGGGGCATGCTGCAACATTTGAGTTGTGGCTATTTAAGTCAAATATTCTTGTAATATGAAAAGAATTTTTTTCAGAAATCTTCACCATAGCATTGAGTACCCCATTGAGTACCCAGCTTTTAATTTGTATCCCCACCCCTCCCCATAAATATTTTTAAATGTTGGCACTGGGGTCATATAATTTGAAATGTTCTACACATTTAACTCTCAAACTTAAATGATTGTGCATGATGATGATAAGATGGGTCCAAACCAAGTGATTTAACAATATCTGGGTATTTGACACTGCAAGACCATCTTTAAAAAATTATCTCTTTACCCTCTCCCAACTTGCTGACTAACATGGCCTGATTCAAAACTTTTTTTAAACCTCCAGGAATTTTTTTTTCATTCCAAAATTTTGTCATCCTGTCAATAGCTATTTTGATTTTAATAAATACCTTCAATTTCAATAATTTTGAAAGTTCGGCATTGATGTTGAAAATTTTTGAAAAAATTTCTCTATGTACCTAATGACCCAATTTTTTTTTTCCTGAGGCAGGAGAAAACAATTTTTAAAAAAAAGAAAAGAAAAAAAGATGGCCTATCATTAAGTAGAAATGATCAAGGACAACTAGACTGAGTGAGGTAGTTTCTTTATACAATTTAATCAAACATCTGAAATGATTGATTTTATTTTTCTACACTTATTTCTCCCTTGAACAGGTCCAGATAAGACCTTGGAGCCTGAGTGATTCTGATTTTGTGATGGACGGGTCACAACCTCTGGATCCTCGTAAAACTATATTTGTAGGGGGCGTTCCCAGGCCATTAAGAGCAGGTAACTCATAAATATTAACCTGTTTTAAATTTGATCGAAAGTCGTAGAAAAATTCTCTTGATTATGTGCAAAATGAAAATTCTCTCTTTTTCCGTAGAATACACATTTTGTTTTGACATACAATGTATTCACTTGACTGTAATCCTACGTAAACCAGAATATATTTGCAGTTTCTGCTAGTATGTTTCCAGATTTGTTCAGTAATACACTAATGCTACTTAGATTGCTTGCTAAGTCCTTCATTATGTGAATCTGTCTTCTAGTGGAGCTGGCCATGATCATGGATCGTCTGTATGGTGGCGTCTGTTATGCAGGGATAGACACTGATCCGGAGCTAAAATATCCCAAGGGGGCGGGGCGTGTGGCCTTCTCCAATCAGCAGAGTTATATTGCTGCCATTAGTGCTAGATTTGTACAGCTCCAGCATGGAGAAATAGACAAGAGGGTTAGTACCAGCAAAATTGTAATCTATCTTACATGCAGCCATTTTTTTTCACTCAACAATAATGTAAAGTTATCAAATATATTGAAGAGAGGTAAATCGCTGTATTAATGCAAAGTGACTAAAATTGTTTTGATGTTGTTGGTCAATATCATGAAATCTTTCATCAGCTCCTACATATCCTGATAATTTTTAGCTCACCTGAGCTGAAAGCTCAAGTGAGCTTTTCTGATCACATTTTGTCCGGCATTTTGTCCGGCGTTCGTCTGTCTGTCCGTCTGTCTGTAAACTTTTCACATGTTCGACTTCTTCTCAAGAACCACTGGGCCAATTTCAACCAAACTTGCCACAAAGTATCCTTGGGTAAAGGGGATTCAAGTTTATTCAAATGAAGGGCCACGTCCTCTTTCAAGGGGAGATAATTAGGAATTAGTGAAAAAATAATGGCATCATCTAAAAATCTTCTTCTCAAGAACCATAGGGCCAGGAAAAATGAAACTCATGTGGAAGCATCCTCAGGTAGTGTACATTCAATTTTGTTCAAATCATGACCCCCGGGGGTAGGGCAGGGCCACAATGGAGGATCAAAGTTTAACATAGAAATATATAGGAAAAATCTTTAAAAATCTTCTCAAGAACAGCAAAGCCATGATGAGTCATATTTATATGGAAGCATCCTCAGGTAGTGTAGATTCAACTTTGTTCAATCATGACCCCCGGGGGGAGGGCAGGGCTACAATGGAGGATCAAATTTTTACATAGAAATATATAGGAAAAGTCTTTAAAAATCTTCTTCTCAAGAACAGCAAAGCCATGATGAGTCATATTTATATGGAAGCATTCTCAGGTAGTGTAGATTCAAGTTTGTTCAAATCATGACCCCTGGAGGTAGGGCTGGGCCACAATGGAGGATCAAAGTTTGACATAGAAATATATAGGAAAAATCTATTAAAAACCTTCTTCTCAAAAACAGCAAAGCCATGATGAGTCATATTTATATGGAAGCATCCTCAGGTAGTGTAGATTCAAGTTTGTTCAAACCATGACCCCTGGGGGTAGGGCTGGGCCACAATGGAGGATCAAAGTTTGACATAGAAATATATAGGAAAATATCTTCCTCTGAAGAACTGCAAACCATGATTAGTCATTTTGATATGGAAGCATCCTCAGGTAGTGTAGATTCAATTTTGTTCAAATGATGACCCCCAGGGGTATGGTGGGGCCCAATGGGGGATGGAAAGTTTTACATAAGAACATATAGAAAAAATATTTCTTCTCAAGAACAGAAAAGCTATGTTAAGTCATATTGATAGGGAAGCATCCTCAAGTAGTGTAGATTCAAGTTTGTTCAAATGATGACCCCTGGGATAGGGAGGAGCCACAATGGGGGATCAAATTTTTACAAAGGAATATATGGGAAATTTTTTAAAAAATCTTCTCAAGTACAACAAAGCCATTTGTTATATTGACATGGAAGCATCATCAAGTAGTTTAAAATTCAAGCCCCCCCCCCCCCCCCCCCCCCCCGGTAATCTTTTCAATACTGAACTGATTTGTGCTTTTGCCTAGCCAATGTGCTCGGGTGAGCGATGTGGCCCATGGGCCTCTTGTTTAAGTTGTTGTTTTAAATAAATGAAATTTTACTGAAGGTTAAAACACTGCATATTTTTTTGGAAAAATGAAAAGCAGTATCTACTAATTGCATTTCACAACGTTGAATGTCTACAACACTGATTGTAATTTTTACAAAGGTGGAGGTGAAGCCGTATGTTTTGGATGATCAGATGTGTGACGAGTGCCAGGGATCCAGGTGTGGGGGTAAATTTGCCCCATTTTTCTGCGCCAATGTCACCTGTCTACAGTATTACTGTGAGCAGTGCTGGGCTCAGATTCACTCTCGCCCGGGACGCGAGTTCCACAAACCTCTCGTCAAGGAGGGAGCTGACAGACCCAGGGCAGTTCCATTTCGCTGGTGTTAGAACAAAAGTCGACAAGCTTTTTCTTCAAAAGAATTAAAACTTGTAGATGTATTTAGTCCAGATTTAATATATTATTTATTTATTGAATTTTTATCTTGTTAATGTTTATTTTTGTCAGTGCTGGATGTGGCTATTGGTTAAGGTAGCCATTAAAAACGTTCCCTTGCCAACTATTTATTACAGATTGTCTCTAGCCAGAGCATTCCATAGGAAATCTAGCAGTTTTAACAATATCCCAACCTTTTTATACAGGTGTTTTCCCTTTTTTTATTCACGAGAGAAAAAGATGACCAGTTAAATATTTTTCCACGAATAATATCATAATTAAAGCAATATATATCACACATGCAATCTGTGTTCATGAATTTTGTAATTTTTCCATCATGCACGTTGTGTATTTAATGAAGAATATGAAGTTTTTTTTATAATCAGTAGATCACTAGGTGGATAGATTTTTTTTTCTACTTTTGTGACCTTTTTAAGCTAGAGACAATCCAGCTATTTATATCTGGTTCTCTGATTTTGTACAGTGTGATTCTATTCTAGTCAATGTCTTGTATGTTTGTTCTGGTCAGTGTTGCTGTTAATCCTTGTTATTTATAAACAAAAACTACAGAAACATGTTGCAGGGATTTGTGACAAAAAAGAAAACTTTTCAGAATTCAGCATTTTGATTTTTTTTACCGTTTATATAACTGTTTTATACTTTTATTGCTGATTAAGAGTTACTAGTTATTGCATGCTGTTTTTTTTTGTTTAATTAGTTTGATATATTTTTTTTTTTCAATTAAATATTTGCTATGTTGTATGAATTTTCTGTGATTTACCATATTTATGTCATTTCTTGTTGCGGCCAGTGGAGAGTTTCCCTGGAGATGTGGGATTTTATTGGGCTTATTTTTTATCCTACCCCCCATGATTAGTCACATACTGTACTGGCTTGTAGTCATGTTTTCCAGGATAGTTTTCTGCATACCATTTAAACCGGTACTAACTGTATATAGCACTATAAAAAATATTGTTTAAAAAAAGGGCCTCATGTACTCACAGATATAAATTTGCTCTCTTTTTTCACATTTTTGATTAATTATTTTTTGCAGTCACTAGCTTTTGGTTGTGGTTCCTCTATATGATCTAGTTATTCATTTTTTGCTCAACAACAGTGTATAATAGAGAAAACTAGTTTGTTACACTTATTTTTTTATGATCTTTTTTTTAGTTATTAGCTGTCATAATTCATCTTAGCCATCACCCAGTGTAATCATGTAGTCACTCCAATTTTTATTGTTTTATATATTCCAGATATTTTTCACATATCACCCAGCTTCCGCTTTGTACATTCTGCAAAAAAGAAAAAAATACAAAAAAGGCTTCTCATCCTTATCCTTTTTATGGAAAACTATATATATTCTTTTTGTATAAATTGTACATTCACTACTTCCATTGTTTTTTTCCTCTTTTTTTATAATTGTAAAAATATATAAAGAATTTGAACAATATAAGAAATAACATGCACTTTTTTCACAATGTATTTTTTTAATTTTCAGTAAGCCAAATAAATCTGTAATATATTTTATTATCAACTTACAAATTTCACCGTCAATCAAACTCTGTGTTGTCTCATGTCACAACAATGCAAGCTGTTTGCCAGGACCGACATTTTGTACCAATTCCTCAGAGTTTTTTTATAGTATGACTTTTTGCTATAGATGTCATCACTTTTAGAAATCAATACTATTAAGATTTAAATTGTTTGTGAGGTAGTATGATGTAATTTGTTTTGTTTTTGTTTACAGGTGCTAGTTTTAAGATAAGAATTATTGATGTTTGTTTTCCTCTGTAATATTTTAAGTGTATTTTCTTTTTACTGTTAGTTCAGGAGAGGCACTTTTTTGTACAACATGATTAAAACTACAAGGAGCTGCTGATACAGGAGACAGAATTACTAATTACATGTAAATGTTAAATGACTTAGTCGAGCAGAGGGGAAATCAAATTTATCTGTTGGTCTAGACTTAGGTACTGTTTTTTAACAACACTTGTATTGTTAGTGGAGTTTTATAATAACGGGGGCAACATTATTGTATATGTACCATACAAAGATTAAGTAAATCAAAAGAAGGTCAAAGGAAGTATGGATAAGGTACGAGGTGTTCCAAGTTATTAATAGTGCCAGATGGTGACTGTAAAATGTGTTCCTTTGTAAAGTTTATGAGCATGCCCAGTGGTAACAGCCAACTGTGATTCTGTATTCTAAAAACCAGTTGTTAGTTAAAGTTCAGGTGGATAATCAAGATATTACTGGTAATGGGGTGTTGGTTTTCAGCGGGGGGCGTGAGACTTCCTGTTTAACAGTGTAACAGCCTACCTCAGTTAATGATCTGATGTCCATAAATACCTCACCGCACTGTAACCCTTCTACTGACCAGTAATTCTGACCATTCAATACAATATACCCTACAACAGTGGTCATTCCTTTGTGGAGCTCCTTGTTTATCAATTTACTCCATTCAGACTTATAATAATTGTGTTTCCTCATAACACTCTATAAATATAATAAATTTAGTCTGTGTCTACTGCAGCAAATGGCCCACCCAAAAATGACCACTTGTATGGTATAGAAGCCCCTCCCCTATAGTACAGGATCTCCCCCTCGCTGAAAGCAAACACTGCTAAGTCTTTCATGTAAAGAGTGCCACTGTGTCAATGATATGATTTGGTTTGTACCTAGCTCATATTGTGCTGGGGATACCAGAGTCTGATATAGAATTTTAATGAGAAGGGACTTCCAGGTAATGGAGGAATTGGATTTGGTTGAGTTGTTTCTTGGTAATAGTAGTCCGTTTTTCTGTTTGTTATTCCTTTTGTTTACATTTTTTAATACAACAGTTATTACTTTTTTATTGGAATGAGTGTCTCTTATTAATCAGATAAGAAAATCTATAAGTGCTTCTCTTCAAGTGGCTCTTCAGAATTTTATTTGTTGAACAGAGCACAACAGATCTCGGTATTCAGCCGTGACAGCTCCTATAGATTTTCTTTCATTTTATAATGGAAACTGGTATTTTTATATTTTTTAGTTCAAAGATATTTATACTTTTATATTTTATAAAAAAAAAAAAAAAGAAGAATTTTGCACGAGTCCTAAGTATGGTGTTGTTTCCATGTAGACTTCATAGTTTATTAGATTCTGCGAGTGATACTTTATGAAAAGGATACAGTGTGTGTTTGTCATTAGGAATGGATTCGAAGATAAACCTCATCTTTGTGAAATTAAATGTTTGCCTTGAAATCTGTAGAGTATGATGAAGCTTCAGCACTTTTTATATCTTGTTTAAAACACAGCAGTTTTTCATCAATTAGTCACTCAGCTGCAATTTTTCATCAGATTCAACTTGAATTAAAAATATGGGTATAAGGTTTTATCATTGCTGCCAAAATTATACTTGCCAGAACAGCAAAGTCATTTGTTTTTTAATCATCACTGGAAAAAGATGAAAAAAAAATTTGTGGGTCTATCATTTCCGAGAACTAGTCACTTAGATCTGTGTTTAGATAGAAAACCACTCCCGTGGTGATGGGGTATGATATTTCTGTTGTGCAATAACTTTTTTATTCAGTTAGATTATTATGGGCAAAGAAAGGCAGTGGATTTTCATATTTCAGTTTAAATAACAATTGTATCTGTAAATTCTTGACAACATTATATCTTATTTTAATACATTAGTTATAGTTATTTATGGTAGAAAATCAATTCATTTTGGTACCTGCCTCATAGGACTTCAAGTTTTTATGAGCTTTTCTGATTAATGTTTGTTGTCTGTCGAGTTAGATATATTCATTTTTTTTTTATTTTTAGAAAAGCCTTAGTATATGTTACAGTTGAAAAAATTATACATTCTTACAAAGGAACTGGGGAGTATTAAAATATGGCAAAGGAAGAATTCAAAATGTACGTTGTGAAAGAAATCTATCATTTATGGAAGCGTGCAGGACAAAATTAAAAAAAAAACTTTTTACAATGTCGCTTTGAATAGTGTTTGAAGGGAGAACGTTTCCTTTTATTTTTGTTTTGTCAAAATAACAACAGAAAATTGAGATTAAAATGAAATTCAAACAATTTGAGCACAATATATTAGGCAAAATTTGAAACAAACTATTATTAGGATAAAAAAAATGTAAATAAAATAATTTTTTAAAATGTAGTTATTGCCCTTACGAAAGATCTGTTGGTCTTTAAGCATTCATGATTTATCATTTCTTCCCAATAACATCTGCAGAGCTGTGAAAATTCCATGTTAATACAGGATTTTAGTTTCAAAATGTGGATTACAGTTCGACCTCTGTAAATTATGCTTCATTGTTATGCTCAGAATTAATTTTTTTAGACAGATTAATATTCTGATTATCATTTATGCTTGATAGTTCCTGACAAAACAAATAATAGAGAAATAATCAAAAATGGTTTATCTTTTAATTTTATCGAATTATACATTAGAAAGAATTGTGATCGAAAAGCAGACCACAACAAATTACTGAAAACTGCAAAATGGGTAAACGCCTCTGCATCTGCCAAATGTCTAACTATTACACTTCATCTCGCTATGTGTTCCTTCCTGACTCCTATAAACTAAAATCATCCTACCATCCAATGACCATTTCACGGGTCAAGGTATCAGGACGTACATATATATGTTACATTTTGTTGTTTTGGTTGAAGGTGAGCATTGTGACCTATGGACCTATTGTAATTTTGTTATTGTTTTGAATCTATTTTTGGATTATTTCCTCCCTCCTTCCCATTTCTTGTCCAGTTGCCTGTTGCTTTTGTTCAGTATTATTGTACTACATCTATAATACTTTCCCATATAACGCCAATCATTACATTATAGAAGACACTGATTAAGTGACCCAAACAAAACATGTGGGATTTATTGCAATTGATTGGACTATTACTCCAGTAACGTTTCTTGTGCATGTGTAGTTTTTGACCAATTTCATACATGTTGTGTTTTGTATAATGGGAAGTTTTCAAAGTTATTTTGTTTAAAGTTATTAACTGATCCTGAAGTTTCTATGTTTTTTAATAAAGCTAAGTCATTCTTTTATAATAATAAATATGAATGGTGTTGTTAAGTTGTGTTTTGTCTGTTTATGAGAATCTCTGTCACTGAAATATAACCTTGTAAGGCAAGACTGCAATTTAATTCCGAAGGGTAACAGCAAAATTATATAGATGCCACGCCGTGGAAAGAGTTTAATGCTGTTTTAAATAAGAACTCCTTAGGCTATATCAATGTGTTGTGCGAAATTTTTCTTAAGACATTCCTTGCAATTAGCCCATTTACATTATATGTACATACAAGCTTGTGTTTGTCCTTTATAAATGCATGACACAGAGGAAGATCAATTTTCAGGAAGAAAGATGATGATGTCTATGAACATGCTTACACTATGAACCTGGTAGCAGTGTGCAACTTAAGCACTCTAATTTCATGTATAATTCTGATGAAGGGTTCAGTACATGTATGTATGTTTGTCAGTGAGTGAAGAAGGAATTTCACAACTACAACCATCCCTAGGCCTAAGGAGAAGGGGTGACATTGAGATTCAATTTTTATGCCCCATAATCAAAGATTCGGGGGCATATAGTTTTTGCCTTGTCCGTCGGTCAGTCTGTCTGTTTGCAAAACCTTTAACCTTGCCCATAACTTTTGATTGGTTGGAGCTATGGCTTTCATATTTCACATGTATATTCCTTGTGACAAGATCTTTCTTTGGGTACCATCACATTTGACCTTTTGACCTTGGAGTTTGACCCACTTTTGCAAAATTTTATGAGAATTTAACCTTGGCCGTAACTTTTGAACAGTTGGTGCTTGGGCTTTCAAACTTCATACGTATTCCTCGTGACAAGACCTTCCTTTGGATACCAACAACTTTGACCTTGACCTTGGAGTTTGACCTCCTGTTGAAAAAACTTTAACCTTGGCCATAACTTTTGAACAGATGCAATGCAAAATAAGAAGATATACAATTTTTGCTGGTTTTGAGGTCAACATGATGATATAGACACTTGAGGAGTACAATATTCACCGAGCCCAAAGGTCAGGCCTGTAGGATGCAATTTCACTTTGAGGGGGTATGACTATACATTTTCAATTGGGGGGGGGGGGCTATCCACTACCAAAAATCCTTGACAAGCCAAAAAAAAAGATCATTAAACAAGCATATAGTATGTTTTCTATAGTATTCTATATATCGGAAAACTTATTGGGGAGCACCCCCCACCCCACCCCCCACCCCATGCCACCCCCAGTTCCCACGGCCATGAAGGTGGCTAAATCATCGTTTTGACCAAAAAAAACCCCCAGCAATTATTGTTTTATTTCTAGTATATGATTCAATAATTAATTAAATGACAAAATCTTTAAGCAATCCATGCCATCTTACTTATTTACATTTACTGAAGTAATAGCCAAACATAATGAGAGAAACGGTTAAAATAAACATAGCCAGTTGTATTAATTTGGAATTTTTATGTCCTGCCATGAATATGGTCAGGGCATATAGTGTTTGTCATGTCCGTCTTCCGTCTGTCCTTCCATCACGCTTTGCGTTTAGCTCAGTTCAAAACTCAGTTTCAAAGAAACTATCCAAGATATTTTTAGCAAACTTCATATGCTGATGCATATTGATGAGAGCTATGCAACTGCCTTTACCTTTCTTTTGACCTTGACCTCACTTTTCTAAAATTAGTGTTTAGCTCAATTTTAAAGAAACCATTCAAAATATTTTATCAAGCTTGATATGCTGATACATACTGATGAGAGCCAATCAACTGCATCAACATTTTTTTTACCTTGACCTTTCTTTTGACCCTGACCTCACTTTTCTTAAATTATTGTCAAACTTCATATGCTGATACATACTGATGTAAGCTAGTCAACTGCATCAACATTTTTGACCTTGACCTTTCATTTGACCTTGACCATACTTTTCTCAATTTGTATTTAACTCAGTTTTAAAGAAACCATTCATAATATTTTTATCAGACTTCATATGCTAATACATACTGATGTAAGCTTTTCTATAGTATTCTATACTTCCATTTCATATTTCAAATTTGCATTTTGCTTAGTTTTAAAGAAATCATTTAAGATATATTTGTGTAAGCTTATGCACTTACACATAATTTGGTGAGAATTTATCATCTATATCCAACTTTTTAGATTTCAATTTTAAAGAAACTATTCAAGATATTCTCATCAAATTTCATACACTAATACAAATTTTCTTGTTGCATTACTAAAATACCCTCGGCTGGGCATTCATGTCCAATGGACATATTTCTTGTTCTATTTTAGGTGCAGTGTAGAAAAAATAAATGTCAGGCACATATATATAAGATCGATTTTGAAAAAAAAAGTGGGGCATCATAAGGAAAAAAAATAACTTTAATTAATTAATTAATTCTTTATTGCATAATACACCCATATGGGTCAACTTACCCGAAAAATTCTGTGAATCTCTCCCCCCCCCCCCCCCCCCGAAAAAGGAAAATTCTCCCAAATCAAAATTTTATTTGGTGGGATGTTAAGATCCATAAACGGGGGAAGGAGGCCTTTCATTGAACAGTTTTATCCTTAAAATTTCAATTAAAAATGTGCGTTCTCAGTGGAATCAATTTGGGATTTCCCGATCTTTTTTTATAGTCTAATGTGAAGAAATTGTGAAGAAGGTGCTCTAAATTACAGGCTTCTCTAATTATTTTTCTTTAAAAAAAAAGTCCCAATACTATAAAAGTTTGGGGATTTTTTTATCAAAGAAGAGAAAGGCTTAAAACATCAAGTGAAGAAATTCACCTCGAAGGGCACTGCAGGTGAATATGACGTAGTATTTTTACTACAATGTTGGATCTCAGCCAATCAGAGGGATAGGAATTATTCAATCATACAATAAAATATGTCGTTCTGCAACTGCAGTCCAATTTTTCCGATATATCTTGGTGTCAACAGTTTATCAATTACAGAGGATATTTTTAATTCTCTTATCATATTGCAGCATAACTAAAAGACACAGCAATCTTTAAATTGTTTTATTTTTTTAATTTATTATTATTTTTTTTTTTTACATATCCCACTAAAGGAACACCCTGCAGACACCAAACCTACTGCCTTATCACACTTTCAAATGGTCAAACTCTTTCTTTTCTGAGTTTTTATGAATGTTATCATGAAGAAAATAAGCATAGTTAAATGAGAAAATAAAAAAAATTATTCCTCCAAATTTTCATTCATGTCTTTGGAGTGTTTCTGCTTTTGTTAACATTGCATTCATTTATCAGTTTAAGCATTTTAATTGCTTGCGTTTAAATGTGGTAACTTATTTAATATACATGAAAGACGTCTTAAACAATTTATAAAAAGGTAAATATTACCAGCAGTAGGAAGCAATATCAGTTTGGGGGGTACAACCTATCAAAATATCCCCCCCCCAAATACTTTGTTTTCTACTGTATACTATATACTGGCAAAGTTATTGGGGGCACAACTGTTATTTAGCCTGTATTAATTTTCGATATGTTGCCTTAGCAACTTTTTTTTCTCTCCTACTGTTTATCATTGCGACAACATGGTTCTTCATAGGTGCTTGTTGACAGAACTCCCCCCCCCCCCCCCCCGCTTCGTATCCCAAGGGTTCTTCAACTTTTTTTAATAAAGTTTTTTTTTCTATGACATATTTGTAAGAATTACAATTGAAAAATACAAAATATAACCTAAAACAAACTTTTTATAAAAACTCACTGGTACTGAAAAAGCGAACGAAAAGGTCCCGTCCTCAAGCACCTGTGGCTTCATAAGAGGAAGTTTAATGGGGGTGGGGGCTGGCAGATTTTAGAAATAAGTAATCCGTCCTCGACAAACAAGAAAATAAGTCATCTGTCCTTGATTAGTGCCACTCCCCTCCCCCTCCCGGTAAATAGAAAAATAGAAGTTGAGCAATTTTCTTTTCTTTGTAAATTTTGTTTTGGTTTTTTGCTTGTCAGACTAGAAAATAAATAATCTGTCCTCGTCCATCTTGGAAATAAATAATCTGTTCTTCACAAATATGAAAATGAATAAGCTGACTCGGAAAAATTTGCAAGCCCCCCCCCCCTTTCCTCTTTAGAATCAAATGGTCGTCCCGTAACATAATTAATACAAAATTGAAATATAAGTAGCTAACAAGGAAACAATATACAATGTACTTTATCTAATTAACATTCAAGACCCAAAGCATCGTCTCAAGCCACGGTCCGGAGTCCGCATATAGCTCTCTCTCCTACAGAATGGGAGAGGATCGTACATTTTGGCCGTGGTTTGCGACGATGGACCCAAAGAGGCATAAAAATAAAAATGATTTTGATTCATATAAATCGTGGACTTTGTACTTGTATTTAAAAAAAAAAACTTCGATGACGGGTGTATCCTAAACAGGAAGCCTGTTTAAAACGAAAGTAAATGTTTACCAATATATACAAATACTCGGAAAGATAGAAATTGCCAAAAACGGAAAATGGTGCTTGTTATGTATCCTAATTCGATACAGGGAGAGATTTTCTGACGGCCATCTCGATGGCTGAGAAGGGGAAAACATATATGGTTGTCGCCGCCATCGACTTCGGCACGACGTACAGTGGATACGCATTTTCCTTTCTGAGTGACTATAGAAGAGACCCTCTTAGTGTGTACACCAACACACGGTGGGAGAATGAGGGGGATGGAACCTTTAAGACACCCACTACCATTCTCTTTGACGAACAGGAGCGTTTTCATTCCTTTGGATACGATGCCGAGAAAAAATATGCTTCTTTGGCGTCTGAAAACGAAGAGGACGAAGAAGGAGAGGACGATTTGGAAAAGGAGAATCATCAAAATTGGTTTTATTTTCGTAGATTTAAAATGAAATTGTTTAAGGCTATATCTCAAGGAGGGAGACCAAGGGTAGGTATTAAAGAGGTCGGGATGGGGAGGGGAATTGAATATTGTAAATTTCTGATTTTTACCAAACTCCCTGAAGTATCGAAATTGGTTCAAATGAAAGAAAAAAAAACATTTGCAATATTATTTTCTACTTGCAAAACAATTGCTGTATGAAACAGATTCGGAGCTTTCTTCTTGATATTTTTTTTTAAATAAATCGTAGCAAATTATAACAGGGTAAACGAATCACAGAAGATATGCAGCTTACTGCTCAAAATGGAAATAAAATGTCTGCAATCAAAGTATTCTCCGGGGCAATACGGTTCTTGAAGGACCACTTGGACAAAGTTTTGGTAAAGCAGCTTGAAAGCAAGGAAAAGAGCGGGAAATCTGTAAAGCAGACGTCATGGGCAGACGACATACGTTGGGTTCTCACTGTCCCTGCCATCTGGTCAAACGAGGCCAAACAGTTTATGAGGAGAGCCGCCGAACAGGTAATTACTGACATGAAAAACATATACAGGTAGTATGTTATAAATGATTGAAAACCCTTCCTTACCTTATTGTTAAACATATGCTCCATAGGCGTCGGAACGGAGGGGGGGGGGGGCTGCCCCCCTTTTTTTGCAAAGATAGACATAATACAGGCAATGAAAACTGGGGATTGTGTGTGTGTTCGACGTAGAAACTTTTTTTGTTGGTTTAGCCCCCCCCCCCCTCTCAATTTGCTTCCGACGCGTACATGTGCTCAGTTGAGCTTTTCTGATCATAGATTGTTCGATCGTCATCTTTTTACTTTAAATTTCTTATTCTCTAAATTCATCATGGGAAATGGTCATATAAATTCATTAAATTTATTTCCAAGCCTCCCCCAGTACTAACAGAAAAAAACAATATTAACTGTAATGAAATTATTTGTATTGTATTGACTCTTTACTCCAGTAAAAAACACTTAATGTGCTGTTACATGAATATTTTCAGGCTGGTATTAAAGGGGATCAGTTGATTTTAGCCCTAGAACCAGAAGCAGCGGCGATATTTTGCAAGCAGATTGCACTGAGCAAGCAAAATGACGAATCGGAAATCAGTGCATATCAACCTGGGAAGAAATTTATGGTGGTTGACTGTGGGGGTAAGCATCTTATTAAGATATATCATTTTTCTGTAAAGTCGAACGGGGGAGGGGGGATCCAAACTTTTGTGTGGCTTGCTTTGAAACCAATGGAATTCTTTACACTGCTACTTATAGACTTCAGATCGAGAAAATTTTTGTGGCTTGCTTTGAAACCAATGGAATTCTTTATACTGCTAATTATAGACTTCAGATCGAGAAAATTTCAACTAAGATTCTATTCATTTAATTTTATTCGAGACTTCAGATCGGGAAAATATTCAAAAAGGTTGCAATTGTTTGTTTTGAGACCATTAGTATTCAATTGATTCACTTTTTTATTTGAGACTTTATTTCTGGCAATTAAACAAGAATGTTTATTAATTTATTTATTTATTTATTTATATGCAGGTGGAACAGTTGATGTAACAGCGCATAAAGTGGTCGAAGATGGATCTCTAAAGGAGCTCCATTGCGCCACTGGCGACGCTATTGGCGGTACAAATGTCGACAGAATGTTCTTTGATGCCTTAACTCAATGGTTAGGGGCCGATGTTGTAAATCAATTTAAACGGGAAAATGCTGCCGATTGGTTAGATTTGGAGAAAAATTTTGAATCCAAAAAGAGAGGTATCGGTCGAAATGAAGAAGAAAACGTTACCTTCTCAAATTTGGGAGAACTTTGCCAAAAATATAAATCACGATCGGGTAATTCAGTCAATTCTAGATTTGCTGATCTTAACATGCAGAAAAGTGTAAAAGTTTTTAAGGAAAACAAGTTTCGATTTGAATCCTCGTACCTAAGGGAGCTTGCGTTTGATGGACCCATCAACGCAGTGATTAATCACTTAGAACGACTTTTTCTGAACCACACATTGTCTGATATCGACACGATCTTGTTGGTCGGAGGGTTCTCAGAATGTCCTATACTTCAACAAAAAATCAAAGATTCTTTTCCAAACAAAATAGTAACTATTCCACCAGAGCCCAACTTAGCTGTCTTAAAAGGCGCAGTCATATTTGGACACAGTCCGAAAAGCATTTCGCAAAGACTAAGTCCAAGATATTACGGTATCGCGACCAACGTTCCATTTGAAAGAGGAAAACACCCTGAAAGTAACTTGATGCATATTGATGGCGCAGATATCTGCACTGATGTATTTAAATGTATGATTAAGAAAAATGCCCCTCTTACTCGCATCCAGAAAACATTTACCCCTTCTACTGAATATAGCCGCTATGCAAATATTGAAATCTATGAATCTGACTCTAACGTTTTCTTTTGTAACGACTCTGGATGTCGTATGCTGGGTAACATTGTTGTAGAGATTTCAGAATGTTTAGGCAAGGACAGAAAACGGGAAATCGACGTTTCCTTGGAATTTGGATCCACCGAACTGTATGTTGTTGCCCAAGACAGAGACACGAAGAATATCCAGAGTGCGAAGTTTGAATGCCTGAAAAAATGAAACTAGGTCGATTATTTTGTTACGTGTATATTTTGACATAAATATTTCCTGTCTTCATTATACACTCTCCAAATATACATGCATATCTAATATAATTAATATATCTATGTCTTATGATTGTATTTGTGTAATTTATTTCCGAGTTAGTATTCAGAATGTAGTGGTCCTTTCAATTTTTTGTCATACAATTAAAACAAAAATGTATGCTTAAGCTGATCTACAGTTCTAAACACATTTTTATAAATTATCTCACAGTTTGCTATTCAAAATAGCACAAAAATGTATTTAAAATGTATTTACTTAATTAAGGAATATATAGAGATAACGAACAGTATTCAAACTCAAAAGTCCATTCCAACAATACAAATCAGGAGTAGAGCAAACACGAACCTCTAAAACATCAGAGGTGGGATCAGGTGCCATGGAGGAGTGAGCATCCCCTCCGACCGATCACACCCGCCGTATGCTCATTGTCATGATCGTGAAATAACGAAAAAAATCCGTGGACAATTCTGTGTGTAAATAATGGTCTAATAGCTAGTATTTTAAAAAGCATCAGTCAGCATTTGACTTAATGATAAATTGTACTGACTGACAAGGTCATTGTATTGACCATAGAACTTACGAAATGATGACTTTAAACGAGACTGTTGATATTCTTGTTTCATCAACTTGTTTGTCAATAACTTACCTCGATTTATAAATTGTTCATACGTAAAGTATGCTCTTGTGTATCGAATCAACTGAGAGATATAAACCCCATATGCATATGATAGGGGTATATTGCTGCATAAGTAAGGGAAGTTGACGATTGAAAAGTTAAAGTCATCAATGATCACGTTTATCATAAAGAGACTTTGTTGTTAGATTACCATTAACGTCTTTTTCAAGTAAAATATCGCAAATATAAAACTGATATGTCAGACTCTGTGATATCTTTTATTACAAGCTCACTGGGATATATCGAATCGACTTATGAATGGAAATAACTATTGTTAATTGATAATACGTCGTCAATATATCTAAATATCGAATTGAAGACCAGAGCAAGTGTTTTCTTCTTCTCGTGTATAAGATTTTGAATAAATTCTGCTTCATATGAATACAAAAATAGGTCTGCTAATAACGGGGCGCAATTGGTACACATGGGAATTTCAACAGATTGTTGGAAGACCTGATCTCCAAAAACCACATAGATAATGTCAATAAAAAAACTCTAGCATCTTTTTAATATCAACTTCAGAGTATTTGTGTGTACAATCAGAATGTTTTTAACAAAATAAATTTGCAAAAGGACATACGCAACGTAGTTTTGAACTGTATTTTCTTTTTTTTTTTTCCTGTCATGTATAATTTGAGAGTTTCAATAATTGAAGAACCTTTGCACAACCTTTTTTACAATGCCTAACGATGATATACGCCTAACTAATTTTCAGAAAATACTGGCAAATAAAATCTATGTGTTTGGCATTTCTTCTTCGAATAAGACACGAATTTTCCCCATTTGATATCTAATTTAAAACCCCTGGTAATGCATGCTGATTATTTGTCAAAGAACATCTGATTGTACTGTGATTTTAAATTAAGAAGATTTTTTAAAAATTATTAATGGGTAAGGTACATTGCCAAGCAGTTGTAAGGTACGGTACGTTGTGTATGACAAGGACGGCTATGCAAATATCACGTCATTACTCATTATCTACCGTCGGCTCCTTCACCCTCTGTTCACCTGACTCCCGTATACCGCTGTGATTATAGCACGATAGTGCGTTTTTTAAAAATCCATTATAATGAAACATATGCGAAATTAACTGTTCGTTTTGCTTTAACGTCTTTTATACTCTTTTCTCTCTTGTGTGTATGTATATTGTATTACATGTATATATAAATGGTAATTTACAAGTACTTGCTTTTTGCCCCATGATCGAGGGCCCTTAATTGGTAAATAAACTAATTGAATTGAATTGAATATACCCTTTCCGCCGCCCATAGATCGCCTGTTCATTGCAACTACAGTGTTGTTGATGCTATAGTACTTTTGTAATTTTTTTTTATATTTTTTATAATCGTGTTAATGAGTTTTTATTAATGTTCCAGACTGTATGCCGACATTGTCAAAGTGAATTGAACAATTGAATGATTTGAATACATTGTATATATAAATTGTATATAAAGAAAACCAAAGTTTTAAATTTGCATTCTTTTTATCTTCGTTAAAAGTCCTAAATAAACAGATCACCACCCTTAGCGAAGATATTTATTTTCTCCCGGATTTCTAACGTTTACCATGAAGCATGGACTTTGAAGTTTATAGATATTCAGACTTTTGTAAACGCATCGTTCATTGGTTAAGGACTTGCACTACGCTTAGATACGTCGACGTAAATAAATATGGCGGCGATGTAGACTGAAAAATCGGGAAATCTTCAGATTAGGTTAAAGTAGAGCGAATTCGAAAAAGGAAAAATCACAAAAAGGAGACCAAGTGCTCAAAATTACAATATTCAAGCCTAAAAAGTCGCAAACAGGGAAAATTCAGGTATGAAATAAATTTTTTTTTTATGTCTTTCGATAATCTGCATGTGTCAGATATATCATCATAATGCATCATTATCCATATTGTAATCATTCCCATTTTATGATTTTTACAGGGTCCAGTATGTCAACAGATGACGTTTATGCAGATCAGGCTAAGAGGCTCGTGGATGAGGTGATTGACACCGCGATCAAGCGACTGGAGACAAACCTGTCTCTGACAGAAAGAGAGAAAACTTTTGAATCTCTGAAGGCAGAAGAGTTCTCCAGGCAATCTACATTTGTCAGAGATGATAACTTCGAAGTCAAAAATATCAAATGGCTGACTATATCAGAATTTTCTCCAGAGAAGGCTGAACAGAAGATTCATGAATTTATCAAAGTTTGTATAATATTCAAGTGATTGAGGCTCATGTCAATTTTTTGCACATTGTTATAACTGATATAAGTGATAATGAAATTTCACAGATAAGTGTGTGATGGAAGTTGTATGATTAAAGGAAAAAAAAAACATGTAACTTATAATTATTAAAGTTTTGTCCATTTTACTTATGAATATTTTATCTCAGAAATGTGCTTTACACACTATATCTGAATACAGACTTGGGAATATGAGGACAGCTGGCTGTATTGTATAGACTTCCTCGGAGAGGACCCTCATCAGTTTGACACCAGATACAGATTCCGTGTGCGATGGAGCATCCCTACTCGTAGAAAGCCCATTCCTCGCGCCACAGCCTGTGTTTATTTTTCCTTTGTTGTTTCTTCAATTAAACCTGGGGTATGTTTAATCTCAATACCTTAGATTTCAAAAAGAAGCCAAAATGTGAATGTATTTGTTGATATGTGGCCAACTCAAATAGAATTTATTAAGATGCATATTACAATTGATTGCATGGATTTTGATTAATGTAGCCATGGTTACTAAATGTAGAAATTTCTATCAATTTCTTTCAAAATCTACTTCTCCTTTATTTTTCGTCCTTTTCAATAAAACTTTGTACTCAAGTAAACTATAATAAGATACATAAAAAAATAAAAAATTATCTAAAATTCTTCAAATACTTTAACTTTTACACTTTTAATCAAATTTCAATAAAACTAAGTAACTATGTAATTAAGTGACAGAAAGATACATAATTCTACTTATTCTGTTTAGCACTTTTGATTTCAATGAATGATCATGTCATGGTTCTAGAAAATATGTTTGTGTAATTATGTTTCAGACATTCCCTGTTGATGTTTTCTATGTGTTTGAGACCCACAGATTGGTCCACAAGTAAGTACTGGCTCAGTGATAAAACAAACCCACAGATTAGTCCACAAGTAAGTACAGGCTCAGTGATAAAACAAACCCACAGATTGGTCCACAAGTAAGTACAGGCTCAGTGATAAAACAAACCCACAGATTAGTCCACAAGTAAGTACTGGCTCAGTGATAAAACAAACCCACAGATTAGTCCACAAGTAAGTACTGGCTCAGTGATAAAACAAACCCACAGATTAGTCCACAAGTAAGTACTGGCTCAGTGATAAAACAAACCCACAGATTAGTCCACAAGTAAGTACTGGCTCAGTGATAAAACAAACCCACAGATTGGTCCACAAGTAAGTACAGGCTCAGTGATAAAACAAACCCACAGATTGGTCCACAAGTAAGTACTGGCTCAGTGATAAAACAAACCCACAGATTGGCTCAGTGATAAAACAAACCCACAGATTGGTCCACAAGTAAGTACAGGCTCAGTGATAAAACAAACCCACAGATTGGTCCACAAGTAAGTACTGGCTCAGTGATAAAACAAACCCACAGATTGGTTCACAGGTAAGTACTGGCTCAGTGATAAAACAAACCCACAGATTGGTCCACAAGTAAGTACTGGCTCAGTGATAAAACAAACCCACAGATTAGTCCACAAGTAAGTACAGGCTCAGTGATAAAACAAACCCACAGATTGGTCCACAAGTAAGTACAGGCTCAGTGATAAAACAAACCCACAGATTAGTCCACAAGTAAGTACTGGCTCAGTGATAAAACAAACCCACAGATTGGTCCACAGGTAAGTACTGGCTCAGTGATAAAACAAACCCACAGATTGGTCCACAAGTAAGTACTGGCTCAGTGATAAAACAAACCCACAGATTAGTCCACAAGTAAGTACTGGCTCAGTGATAAAACAAACCCACCGATTGGTCCACAAGTAAGTACTGGCTCAGTGATAAAACAAACCCACAGATTGGTCCACAAGTAAGTACTGGCTCAGTGATAAAACAAAACCACAGATTGGTCCACAAGTAAGTACTGGCTCAGTGATAAAACAAACCCACAGATTAGTCCACAAGTAAGTACTGGCTCAGTGATAAAACAAACCCACAGATTGGTTCACAGGTAAGTACTGGCTCAGTGATAAAACAAACCCACCGATTGGTCCACAAGTAAGTACAGGCTCAGTGATAAAACAAACCCACAGATTAGTCCACAAGTAAGTACTGGCTCAGTGATAAAACAAACCCACAGATTAGTCCACAAGTAAGTACTGGCTCAGTGATAAAACATTTCATAGTATGTATGTATACAGTATTATTAAGTATGTACACAGTATTAAACTTAAGGTAGAAATTGTGTTTGTAGAGAGAAACAAGAGTTACATAAGCATACATTTCTTATTTATTAACAGTGATCAGTTTTATATATTCTTTTCTTATCTGTATATTTTTAGACAGGGAATATCTTCCATTACATCCAACTGCTATCAATATATAGTTTAATAATTAATATAACTTTTTGTTCATGTCTTATGTACTGTAAAGGCTAGCCCACAGTTTTAGGAACTCACATGTATTATGAAATACATGTAGATTGAAGAATTAAAGCTAATTTCTGTTCAATTTATATTTAAACATAAGAAACATATACATTCAATTCTTTTTTTTTTCATAAAAAAATTGTTGCATTTGCAGACCAGGGGAGTCTAGATTCCGTGAAAAGTGGTTAAAAGACATTATAGAGAACAAGGTGATGATGATGCAGGTCATTGAGTTTTAACTTGGAACAAATTAGTGAAATAATCAATGTTACCATTTAGAAGGTGTGATATCATTTACTCTTGCTAAATCAGTTATAATCTGTGTCAATCTGTGACCTGAAGCAAGAATAGTGTATATGAAATTGTTTTTTTTTTCAAAGATTATATTTTTTGGTAAATCTATGTACTTTAGCTGGAATAGTGTATATAGAATTGTTTTTATAAGAGTATAAAGTTTAATGTATTTATTTGTAAATCTCCTGAAATCATGATGTGCATTATGACAGTTTATGAAAATATTAGTGAGAGATATGCATATCTGTTTGATTTACTTTTTTAGTAAGTATTTAGCTAATTTGACTAAATGTTTCTGTTTAATCATGTCAAATTTTGTCATTGAATAAATGACGTAAATTCCTTGCTTAAATCATCGAGACAAGAATACTGATTGGTCCATAACAAATTCCATGTATTTATGGTATGTTTTTCTATGTGTTAACTTTTACGTGTGAAAGGTGAATGCATCTTCATAGATGTTAATTATGTCACTCCAAATAAAAGCTGGAATTGTGAAAGAGTTGAATTTATAATTAAATTTGATGAGGAGTTTAACATAATTATCAATATTTTGGAACATTATGATCTCTTTCTGAAGTAAGGCAATTTTGTTACCGTTTAAGAGTTATTCCCCTTGATACAGACTACAGTCATGTATTATATGTAGAATTATGATCTATGTAAAATTTAATTTGTTTTCCTTTGAGGGCTCTCAAACAGTGCATACCTATGCCAATCTTAGTAATAAAATTGAATTATGGCATATTTTAGAAAATATTCCAGCTCTCGGTACACTAATTTGACTCCGATACTGTGGAATTATTAGATTTTGTGGTACTCAATATTAATTTTGTGGAATTTGTGAGAACACTGCATCCACAAATTCACATCTTCAATGAATTAATAATTCAGGTTTTAAGAGTCATCTTTCATTTTGTAGATACGAATGAATACAATAAGTTACATCCCCTCAAACCTGTAAAATTCAGGCAATCCACAAAAATTGGCCCCCATGAATTTTGAATGATTCCACAGTATGTCTTTGTTCCTGAAGTGAACCCTACCATGATTCTAAAAAATCTGGAAATAAAGCCAGCATCCTTCTTTTGAGCTCACCTCAGAATCTATTTTTTTTTTGTACCTGGACATTTGTACTCCTGAGATTTTCACTGAAATCTGCTCAACAAAAATAAAATTTGGAATAAAGAAACTGAAAATTTTTTTAAAATCTACGTTTGTTTATAATAATTGTCAGAGAAAATACTACATTTTGTTGTCCAAAAAAATACTGTTTCTATGACTCGCTTATAATTTGGACATCAGGTTTTGGACCAAAATTTATCTCCCCAAAATCCAACCTATGTATGGGTACATATGTTACATATAGCAATTTTATAAAATCCTCGGAAAATTTTGAATTTATTTTATATTTATTGATGTGTTTTATTGTCTTACAAGGGCTCCGATTCTGGAGTTGATGCAAAAATATTTCCCACCTCGGAAACGTGATCCCAACCAACTGTATACGGCTGAAAAGTCTGTCACTTGATCCCAATAAATTGTAAAAGACAGTGAAAAGTTTGTCACCTGATCCCAACAAACTGTATAAGCCTGTGAAAGTCTGTCACCTGATCCCAACAAACTGTATAAGACTGTGAAAAGTCTGTCACCTGATCCCAACAAATTGTATAAGACAGTGAAAAGTCTGTCATCTGATCCCAAAAAACTGTATAAGACTGTGAAAAAGTCTGTCATCTGATCCAAACAAATTGTGAAAGACAGTTAAAAGTCTGTCACCTGATCCTAACAAATTGTATAAGACGATGAAGAGTCTGTCACTGTACAGGCATCAGTTGTCATCTAAAGCTTTCTCTCACTAAAGCTATATTCCCGAGTCTATCTCTGCCTGTTGTATGTTTCCATTCAGATTTTTTATGAAAACAGGGAAACACAGACAAGTAATGAACTTAGGTTTATTCAATCAGTAAAAAAAAAGATTTCAAATAAACAGACAAGATACATAAAGTTCTATCTAGCTTTTTACATGTAACATACATGAAATACTGATTCATACAATAATAGGATTATGGATATGTAATGGAAAATTATAGCAAGATAGAATACAGTTACTTCCCCTGCAAGAGTTACTTCCCTTTAGCGTTCAACCATAGTTCAAATAGATAAAGGTATATTATCTTTGTAAAATTACACATAAAATTATTTTTAATCATTATGTATACGTTTTTCTTTTCAAAATTTAAATTCCAGACCTAGTCATTATTCTATTAATTTAAAGACATAATTGACATACAATGAATGAACAATATCTAAACCTATTCTGACCTGGCTCTTGTTAAGTAGTTTAGTTTGATTAACTTTCCACAATTGCTCGCGTATTAAGATTTTGCCAGGATAAGTTAAACACACAAGTAAAACAGACTCCACATGAGGCAGTAAAAATCAAGGTGGAGTGATCACAGGGACAATAGCAAACAAAGCAACAACAACAAAAAAAAATCATCAATAAAAATCAGATTCGGCATAAAAAAAACGTGAATCAAATTCACAGCATATCACAGGATGTTGTGATTGTAAATCTCATAGAGAATTCATTGTCATGATCAATTTATAACAACATTTGGACGGAAAAAAATAATAATCCCTACAGATTCATAACAAACATTTATCAGAAAAAAACAGTAAATACTTCCTACAGATTCATAACAAACGTTTATCAGAAACACTACAGTACCCTTTTGTATTCATAATAAAACTCACAATATACATCTTGTCAATGAGGTATTATTTACTCTAATAAAAGTTACTTAATTTTTTAAAAAATATATAGCCATTACTCTTCAAGGGGAGATAATATGAATATGTGCTTTTCTCTTTATTTCAGCAATTTTCAGTGATCAAATATAAAACTGCTCAGTAGATAATAAACAATAATCAGATTTGTGACACCAGTTTGGCAGCTTCAAGCAGTCTGTGCACAAATAGTATCCTTTCCAAATTTGACAAGTCTCTTCATTACTTTTTTTTCAAATTAAAAAAAAAGTCAACAACATTTCCCTATAAAGGTGTCAGTTTCATATACAGGTGTCAGATGAACAAGTTTTTTGGTTTCCTCTGAACAAGTAAATTTATTTCTAGTTTGTTCTGAATACTTATTCGGCGATTTTGTCTTGAGTTTCCTCGTTGGATTTTGTTGGTGATTCTGTCGGTTCCTCGGAGGATGTCGATTTCTTAGGTTCCTCCTTCTTCTCCTGAGTCTTTTTCTCCTTTAACTCCGTCTTCTCCTCTTTTTTCTCCTCTTTTTTCTCTGGCTTCTTCTCTTTTAGTTCTGTTTTTTCCTCCTCCTTCCTCTCGTCTTCTTCCCTTTCTTCTCGTCTCTCCTGGTCTTTGCTAGATCGTGTTTTCTGAGATCGACTATCAAGTTTAGACTTGGTCCTCTCCTGAAACATTTATAAAAACTGCACTGACAAATGATTTAAACATTACGGTATTTCATTTCTCTCTCAACTATGCATTTCAATTTTTGCAAACAAGTTTTAAAATATCAATACTTATTTGTAACAGACACTGATCTTTGAATGTGTTGTGGCATTTACATTTTAATTTTTTTGATGATGGTATATATGCCATGCACTGAGTTTTACCTTCTTCATGAGCCACCAGTTTTTGGGGTAGTGGCTGATGTTATCGATGAACTTCTGCTCCTCGTCCCAGATATCCGCCCACCGTTTGGCACTGTATTCTGGTTGCCTCATGGTGACTCTCTGTAGAATGGCCTGGTTCTCCTTAGTGACACGTAAAAGCTCACGTTGCCGTTTCTCCTTGTTTAAACTGGGGACAAAAATAAAAATATTAATCACTATTTAAAAAGAAATAAAACTTGAAATATAATATGTTATGTAAATAATAGTCAAAAAATGATCTAGGCAATACGACTCAGTATAAGAAAACCATTGTCAATGGAGGCACAACCAAGGGTTGATCATGGTTTTCAAGGAGTAAAAATTTTCTATGTTACCCTCATCTACATACAATATTTATTACATTAATATATTAAATGTTTTATATGTCAAATACAGTCTGTACATAATTATAACAGTGAATTGAGTGTGGGTAAAATTCTGTGCAGTCAACATTTTTTGGAATATCATCCATCGTCAAGCAATGTTGACTGTTGCTATGCTGGAGGGCATGGTTTCATCATTCAGAAATTTTTTTAACAAATGTTTCTTGACAAATCAGATTCAACTAACTTACATGAAAATATAACATTTAAACTTGATTTTATTCTCTGTAGATGGGACAGGTTGAGCTTCCCCATTGTTAAATATTTGTATGTTAGTAAAATGGCTTTTATTTGAAACTTCAGTCATACAAGTCCTTTGTAAAATGTTTCTGCAAATGGTACATAAAAGTTACACTGAAATGATTCCAGAACTAAGATATTTAAATCTAATAGGGAATTGTTGATAAATCATAAAGTGACTTTAAACTTAACTTTCTCTTGAATTTCAAACCTATTTAAATGACAATAATACAGCACTCTAAACCATAAAGTTAAGAAAAACTACAACATTTAAATGTCAATGTTGTAGGAAGGATCAAACTGTGGACTTCATGTTGACTGCAATCAAGTGGCTTTTGATGGGTGTCACTTCAAAAGTTCAGAAAATAGACTCAATGTGAGATATTTACATCAAACCAGATTTCAACTGTCATTTTAAAAGACAATTTCTGCAAAACAAAAAATTACTGATCACACAACAAAAACTAGCCATCATTAAAAGTCACAAGGTTCACAATTTATCCATAGTGATCTCCCTTGGTGTAAGTGTATCTTTCATGGAGTGTTTTTGTGTCACTCTGATTTATCTCCCTTGGTGTGTATCTCCCATGGAGGTGTCTGAGTTATCTCCCTTGGTGTGTGTGTTCGTTAATTTCTGAGTTAATCAATTTACTATCTGACGTGTCCCAGTCTGACAGTAATATTAGAATTCCCTTTATGAGCATTATTCGATTAATATAGAGAAGAAATTACTTTCTGACAAATCAATGATGTGTATTGTTCAGGAGAATTGAATAGAAAAGAACGTATATTCTAAAAGCCTTAACAAGAAATTGATCTTTTAAGATTCACATGACAGAGGATAAGGCTTCTGGGTAATCTTTATGAGTCTCGGAGTTTCTTCACGCTCACAGAATAATGCTTACAAAGAAAACATCAATAGCTTCATCTTGTGTATATATCATCAAAATTTCATGATGCCTCAATCAGCCTAACATTAAATATTTACACTAGATGGGTTAATCGATCCATTCCAGTAATTTTTTTTAAATCTATTTCCTTTAAATTAACACTGAATCTAAAAAATGATTGAAAACCAAATGTCTCCATGAGAAGATAATGTGAACAAAAATCACATAAAGAAGAACTGAGGCATTTTCATAGGCACTTCATTGGCATAATATTTTTTTCTCTTTTGAGAAGAGAAAATAAGTATGACACAGAGTGCTTGTGGTTTCACAGCCCTCACCCAGGAGGAGGTGCTATATGTCCTCAAGGAGAGGTAACCAAGTTCCTCAGGAAGACGTGCATAAAGGATGCATTCTTTAATTAAATTAAGGAACTCCCAGGTGAATTAACTTGGTAAGGATCAAAGGACCAAGTGTACTGAGATGAAGTAATTCGAAGTTCTTATTCTTTGCTTAAATATGTATTTGACACTTAAATCTAACTGACTTATTCAACAAATACTATTTTTATTATTTAATTTAAATTTAAAATCCCAGGTTTACCCGTCACAAAACAATATGCAGCTGACAGTTCATAAGTAAATAATTACCAAGCTGTATAAATATTGTGTGCTCACCTTTTATATTCATACATATTCCTATTATCTACACGGCCTCTAGTCCTCATGATGTAAGACATTTTTTCTAGTAAGATTCGGTTGTCTCTTTCTATCGTTGCTAGTCTCTCTTCTTCTAACTGTAAAATCAATGTATAAGCTATGTTAATTACAAAACATTAATTATCTTTCATTAGTTCTCAATCACTAGTAAGTAAACAAAATCATGATTCTGCCTCCTTTGATTTACGTGAACATCATTCTGTTTATTTCCTCCTGAGTTAAACTGGTCCTGTTTGAGTTGTTTTTGTCTAATGCCGGATTTGTTAGGGGAGATAAGTCATCTTTTAAAGATATACATGCTACATAAACACCAATTTCTAATGATTAAATGATTTGAGAAAAATGATGTGTAATGAAAAAATAATACTTTCCACAAAGTTTTACTGAATAGGTCATTTTAATTAAAAACAATTAAGCAAGATCTGCAGTTAAGAATTTAGTCTTTTCATGAATATTGATGAAGGAAGTGCGTAAACAGTATAAAGACATGCATGTCCGCTGGAATTCATAGACAATGAGATACATTGCATTTTGACTACAATTATAAATAAAAGGTTAATATCTGTCATTACAGAGTAGAGGATTAATACTGGTAATGCTTTAAAAGATAAGTATCTTTAAGCGTTAGACGTTTGCCATCCATGTCAAAAGTTATTTGTATACCAAACGGCCTACCTCGATTTCTTGATTTCATTTTTGTTTTTCAAGAAAAACAGATGATGAAACATCATTTAGATTTTATTACAATCACCAAATGATTAACATAACGAATGAATATAAATATTTGGGTGTTGTGTTCAGATCTGATGGAAAAATGAAATTTGCAGCTGAACAACTATCAGAACGTGCTAGGAAAGCATATTATGCTATTAAATCAAATTTTCCTGCAAACATTAATTTTTCAGCTGAAATTATGTTAAAATTATACCAGTCAATGATAATACCAATTATTACATATGGATCTGAAGTATGGATAACTGACTTCAAATGTGATTTAATATCTTCAGACCAATTTCCTTTTGAAAAAACACAACACTTAATATTTAAAGACATACTAGGGGTACATAGAAAGGCATCAAATCTTGCTGTTTTATGTGAATTGGGTCGTTTTCCTTTGTACTATTTATGTTATGAATATATGTTTAAATATTTTAAGAGACTTAAGGAAATGGAAAACAAACATGATTATAATAATTATTTAGTGATTTCTGCATTTAAAGAAGACAAAAAACTTGTATCTAGAATATCTTGGCAAAGAAAACTGTCTTCATTACTACAAAAATTAAATATCACTTCTTTGGATATTTCTCACACAACCTTGAAAAACAAATTACAAGAGCATTACCAAAACAAGATACATGAACAACTGAAAAATATAAGCAAATCAAACTCTGGAAAGTTAGCTTTTTATAGTAAAATTGTAATTCAAAATGAATACAAATTGCAAAGTTATTTAAAGCTGCCTTTAAAGAAAAGTTTTAGATCTGTATTAACAAAATTAAGGATCAGTGCCCATCCATTGTATATTGAAACGGGCAGATACTGTAAACCCCCTATTCCTAGAGAAAAACGTTTATGCTATTCATGTAAATTATTTATTGAAGATGAAAAACATTTTGTTCTATACTGTTCAAAGTATGACCAATTTAGATGCAACTATACTGATATATTTAATGTAAACACATATACTAGTGATAATCCCATTAGAAAAATTGTCAATCCTACAAATATTACAACTGCTAGAAGGATATGTTGTTTTTTGAAAAAGTGCTTTGACACCAGAAAAGAAAGTCAGCAATGAATACTTAGAAATATGTGAATATACTCTACATTATTTTGTTCAACTCACATTTGTCATTTTGTATATGTATGTATTATTCTTGTTAATTCATTTTATGTCATGACTGTATGCCGACATGGTAATTGTCAATGAAGTGAATTGAATTGAATCAATCTAAAAGTAGTGACAGTGTCATGTGATACATTAATTTAAATAAAAGCATTACTTTCCTGGCAGGAAAATAAATAATTATAACTTGACATCTTTATAATGTGTTCATTTTCAATTGTGTAATTTACAGTATTTTCGTAATTTTAATTGGTTAACAAAATAAATTAATTTCCAACCTTATCTTTAACTGACACAAGTTATAGCATGTAAATCTTTAATGTTAAGAGTCCTAAAAAGCTGGATATATTACGTGACATGAACATATTCTTTATAATCATGAAAGTGATTTGGGATACCATGATATTGCATGGGTTCATTTAAAAATGAGCTGATTGTAAAAAAGGGGGAAAAAAGACACACACACCCCAAAAAAAACAACAACATAAAACATGCATAACAGCTAAATTTGAAGTATAAGCGATATAGAAATGTTTTTTGCTCAAATGAAGAGTCAGGACATAGAATGTATTCTTGGATACAGATAATTTTCTTCCTTATGTAAAAAAATCAAGACCTGTACAGGTAACATAAGGTTCAAATCCAAGTCTCACGCCAAGCTCTCTCTGGCAGACATTAAGTAGAGGAATAAATTTGGCTGATCACGACTAAAAAAAAGTAAGGAGAACTCAAACCTCACTAATTAAAAATCAACATTTGCCCGTCCAGCTATTTAAATGGATGTACAAACCTCTTAAAGTCTACAGATTTAACTGCTAAGTGAAAATTAATGTTGTTTCACAAATGGAACTATATATTATAGGTAAACATGGTCTACAAATCTAACTGGGGCTATTTTATGATGGATGAGCAGGTACTAGAATACGGTGTTATTTTGTTAATAGTGCGACCATTATCAGCCATGAAAGCTGAGGGGGAGTCGAATATTTAAACCATTATATCTTTCAGTGGCCCTTCACGATTAGTGTGTTTACTTTAGGTTAGGTGAATGTGGATTATAAAAAGGACTATTGTGTACATGTGTATGCCATTTAGGCCCTGAATAAAGGCGGCATTTAATCCAAATCTAAGAATGCATGAAACAGTTCAAAAGCTTTTTTATAATTCTATGTCAGAGAAATATCGCAGTCAGGTGTCGAGTGTCATTTTCTATATTATGAAATTTTTGTTCAGTTCTTTGCATTGGCAACAAACAAACACAGCTAACACAGAAAAAATAGTAATTAACACTTAATTAACTTCATGTTGTTAATGAAATATTGGTAGACTATAGCCAGACACTTCTTATTCTAGTCTAAGACTTGGAATATACAAGCTATATCCAAGAGGTCAATATTACCCATGTTAAGTATCAGATTCTTTATACAAGGTGACCTGTGCAACTCACTTTGATGTACTCTTGGTGTTAGATGTCAAGGGTCGAAATTAACAGGAAATACTCACTTAATGTGAATTATATAAAAACAAAAATTGCGAGTTAAAAGCGATCTGTGGTCACCAAATTTTGCGACTAAAAAAAAGGTCTTTTTCAGATTTTTTCCCCAGTTTATTCAAGGGATGTGCAATTAGGATTGCCTCATGCTCGGGGCTACCATTTTTGGGGTTGGGCTAGTGATTTTATGCACAGTAATACATGAAAAGCACTAGAGGTATTTTTATTCACTTTTTTTGCTATTAAATTCCCAAACAATGAAAAATATTCAGGTAGCATCATGTATAAAAACTACATGGTATTCTAGATACAGGAACTGAAGATTAAAACTTAAATAATATCTATGATTACAGAAAAAGTTTGTTAATCTACAATGGATGAGTTGATCAGAGGGAAATCTTAAGAACATGAATGGACTCATTGATTAACTCTCCTCAGGAAAAGGGTAAATGTTTATGTGGGTTATTGACTTCTTATTGATTTAAATGCACAAATCTCATCCCATTAAATATTCCCCCCTACTGAGTGAGACGTAACAGGGATGAAGAGGCTGATTATATCAAAGTGACTGGCTCCATTTAATTCTGTAAATCATTAAATTACATCAGAATGTAAAGGGGTGCTATATGTGATATGGATGCCTGCCATTTCAGTTTAATTGATCGCTGATATGCAATGTTCCATGTAAATCCCAGATTGCTTAACAGACCTTTAATTAAAAAATCAAGCTCGCATATATAAAAAAAAATCCTCTACAGGTATAACAATGAAAATAAAATATCCACATTAAAAAAAGTCAAAGGACCCATTGATCATTGTTTTAATTTTCACATGATTCATTATAGATTTTAGATTTTGATTTTTTCATAAGCTTGATGTATGTGACACTTTAATAGTGAGGTATTGATATCTAATAGAGAGGCTCTCTCTCCTGGTAAACAAGAAGCTCTCAAAGTAGAATATTGCTTGTGTCATAAATCTGCAGGTATTTTCATGTCTCCTTTAAATTTTCATGCACAACATCCACAGTTTTCTTCTTAAATCATTTTTAAGATTACTTTTTCAAGCCCCCCCCCCCCCCCCCAAAAAAAATAAATACAAAATTACAAAATGCTCTCCTGCTAGAGTGAGCAGATTTCCAGTTAACACAATTAGATAAATTTAACCTGGGCAGTTCAATTTACAGTCTTCAACACAAATGCAAAATATTAATTGAAAATATCAAATTAATGTTCACTCTAAAATGCACAATACATAATCTATAGAGAAATATCACTGAGAAGAGAGGCAGGGCTTTATAATAATTCTTCATAAAGTTTGTTTCTACTGAATTCACGAATGAAATGATCAACTCAATGTAGTTTCCATTTTGTATTTGCACAGACAAATACGCTTTGCTTTGGATTTCAATGACAGTTTTCCCTTTTTGTCTGTTCCTTGAGCAGGCAGAAATTTAAACCCCCAGGACTTCATGATCTCATAATTCTCAAATATAGATATACTTTTATGAGTTTAAATTGAAAGATTTTGAGTCAACAATGACATATGAGATAAAGTCTTCGAAAACTTATGATTTAATCTATTGGATTGTCCATTTTATGATTTGAATCTGACACTTATTGATGTTTGATTTGGAAAGTAATTGGTCGATATCAGGCTTATGTTTATATTTACATGAATAAAATTCCAGTAATATTTTATCCAACAATAAAATTGTATTTGGATGTCTGTTAATGATGTTCTTAAATTTTCTAAACCATTAAAACAAAATAGTTTTTAATGCAAAATCTTTCATCTGTACATTACCAATGTTTTGCTGCAGTGAACACCTTATTTTCATGGGAAAGTTATTTGGTATATACAGTCAAACTTCGTTACCTCGAGCTTGAAAGGACCGAGAAAATACTTCAAGATAACCGAGGATTCGAGATATCCAGGGTAAAATACTTAAGGAATAAGTAGTTGGGACCTCAAAATTACTTTGACATATCCATTGTATTGGAGATATTCATGTTCGAGATACCGAAGTCCAACTGTATATAAGTGTGACAAAATTTTCATTAATTTTGGTTCTTAATTGCTATATGTAATCTGTAACGTATACACAAGAATAAAATTTTTGCAAGCAGATGGTCTCACATAATTATAAGAAATTAAAGTTCTGAATCATGAATAAAAAGTGATTTAAAGGAGTTAATTAGATCCAAAATATCTAATGAACATAATTGCAGAAGGTTCAAGAATTCTTTGAAAAAAAAAAGGATAACCTACTTGTAGCTTTTTGAGTTTCAGGTGAAGGTGCATGTAAGTGGGGGGAGCTTTTGTATCAACCATTGGAGCAGCCGTTCGCACCTGTAAAATATCAAATAAGGTGATACTGTTATACTAAATGACAAAGATTTTATGTAAAAAAAAAAAATGAAAACTTTACGTTTTGATCACTGAATTCTGGAAAATAATTAAAACAAGTCAAATTTCTACAAACATAAGAAAAACAAAACCAATCTTAATCTTATGCTTCAATTCATCACTACTTACAAATAAAAGTTTAAGTGTTTATAAACAGGAACAATTAGTATTTTTGTCCCTGATATGAATTAATATAATTAATAGGAGTCTTGAATATGGGGAAAACAATTTTAAAAAAACAATTTGTTAAAATAAATTTTAAAAAACTTCTTAAAAACTTCATCAGAAGTGAATATTTCAGATGATATGGTAGGAGGAGATTATCAGTAGTTGATTTACATCTGATTACACCAAACACTGATAAAACAAACAAGGACCCTCTTCTTCAAACACAACGAGATCTAATGATTAATTACCTTTCGCCTGTGTTCATCATAATATGTTGTGTCCCATCGCTTCTGTAGGAGCTTGTTGTGGGTCGGCAATATCGACTGATAACTTTTGTGCATCTTTACTATCTACAACTAGCACCCCTCCTCTACAAAAACGTAAATAATGTATTTTTGTACACGCATTCAATGCTGTCTATACACTATTCAGGTTGCTTGGTCACGTGATCACGCACAATCTCCATAACGACAAGATCTTAACTAAAAATAAGCGAAAAACAATCGGAATCGCCCAATTTATAACCTAATTATAGTTCACTCAAGTGGAAATGTATCAACTATGCAATTCATATATTAAAATTATCTCTTTTTTTGTTAATTACATCCAAAAATGCCAAAATCCGAAAACATGTGCCCGTCAATATCACAAAAACGCTTTGATTATAAATAAAAATAGAAGTCAAATTAGTTTTGCCGGAATATGCAAGCCAGAGTAATTCCCCTTAGATCGTCCTTAAATTTAGATTAACGCTAGATGGTACTTAAATTTATTCAAGTACGTGTCTGATTACCCATTTCATTCATTCATCTACAAATAGCAAATGTTTTATAGCATATGATACAGCATATTATGTCAGTTTTGGATCATATTAGGATGGTGTATTTTGTACATGTGTTTTTCTATCATGTCAATGTTTATTTAAAAATGGAAAATATGGAAAATGGCTGAAATTCGCAGCTTATTTTTACACCCACCCCCCGAAACAACAAATCCTGAATTGTCATTTCACAAATTCATACCGAAGATTTTGTTTTCTCACGGGGGTGGGTGATGGTATATGTTTAAGGTCCGTATCAACGGTTTTAAAAGTGGGGGGAGGGGGGCTCCAAAAAAAATCTGCCCCCAAAAAACTAAACTGTCCAGACTTGAAAATCCTATTTCGTGTGTATGCGTGTGTATGAGAGAGAGAGAGAGAGAGAGAGAGAGAGAGAGAGAGAGAGAGAGAGAGAGAGAGAGGTTGAAGGTTGACTTTTTTGTCTTACTTTTTCGTAAGAATTTTTCTTTTTCAAATCCTGGACTTTGTCAGTACTCATCCTTACAGCAACAAAAAACGTGGGGGGGGGGGCAACCAGCATTTTATTGAAAAGTAACTTTAGCAAAATACTACGCTCAGAAAAAAAGTGGGTTAGGGCGGCGAGGGGGGAGGGCCCCCTCCCTCCCCCAGCGTTCTATGGGCTTGTGTTTACAGACTAAAACAGGAAAATAGTCATTTTATTACCAATTTCAAATGAGAAAAACATATGAAAACAAAAATATCTATTGAATCATTTGCATGCAAGGAAATGTGGGAAATAGATGTTTTGTATTTAAGAGAAAATACTCCTTCCTGTCCTAACTATTATTTATTCCTTCCTAGCCTTCACCATTTAAAAATTCCTGAATTTTTGTTATTATTGTAATAGTCTTGCTACTATAGAGTTTATTCAAGCATGCGTATTCAAAATATTAAAGATAACAAAACAGGCAATATCATGTATGAGCAGTGGCAGTTGGCAGTAAGCAGCTGGCAGTAAGCAGTTGGCTGTCGTATATGGAATTCCATAGTATCTATTCGGCTTAGACACTTTTTTTTATAAACATTTTCACCCTTGAAATTTTTGCACAATTCAGTGTGTGTGTGTATATACAGGTAAACTTCGTTATCTCGACATCGACGGGACCATCGGAAAATGTCGAGATATCCGAGGTGTCGAGATATCAGAGTTGATACTTGACGTCCAAGATTTCACAGCATAGCAAAGCAGACAAGCTTATTATATGTACATGACTTTAATATCGACTGTAGCTCAACATATTTCAGAATTCCCTCTATTTTTATTAAAAATCTAAGATATTATTTTAAAAATCTTGTTTATAAAACGTGTTCTTAATCGAAATCTTTCTAAATTCACAAAGTTTCAGCACAAAGTTACAGCATTGAGCTGCATTCGCGTGTAACTTGCCTTTTCGTCAGAACAGGATACGAATTGCGCTCTATAAACTTCGAACCGTATAAAGTCGACATCCGATATACGGTAAAAAAATTAAATGTGGATTATTTTTGTCTTATTTCATTCAGGAAGAATGTACATTAAAATAAATTTTTTTAAGAGATTTGTGTATCTAAACTAGCGTAGTGATGTTACAGATGCACGAATTACGGCTGATTCGGTCAATCGTGTCGTTAATTGGATTGTTTCCTGTTGAATACATTTTAACTTCAAAATATCATTAAAACATTTTTTTTAATTCCTTAGTTTGAATTTTTCAGTGTGTTTGTTATTCATTGTAATTTAGTTATCTTTTTTTTCAATTTTTTTTCAAATTTAAAAGTTATGTTACGTTTCGATATAAATAACATTCTGTACATTGACGCAGAATCGTGTAGATTTAGCAATGATATTACCCAAGCTCAATTAACTTCTCAAAGACGCCGAAGGGGCTTGGGATTCACCTACAAATACAGTCTATAAAATTAATTAAGCAGCATGCAGTCAAAACATGGGTGTGAAAGGTGTGAAACTTTGACGACGTCGAGATGCTCGGAGTCGTCCGAGCGTGACGAGCGACCCTATCTGACAAACAGTTAGGTTCAGTAGAGCAGAAAATTGCCGATGTCGACATATGACAGGTAAATTTTGCTCTTGGGACTGTGAATATACGTCGAGATAACCCGGGTTGTCGACATTACCGAGGTTGACATATCAGAGTTTTTGCAAATCATTTATATAGTAAATACTGCCGGGACCGCGGAAGGATGTCGACATATCCCAGGTTGTCGACATATCCGATGTCGAGATACCGAAGTTTACCTGTATATATATATATATATATATATATATATATATATATATATATATATATATATATATATATATATATTCTGCTTGTCAGGAAATTTTCTGGGTTGGAAATTACCGCGCTTGTATTTTAATTATCTACTCAGATATCTCGGAAAAATTCAGTGCGTGCATGATCAACTTAATGCCTACTTATCCTACTATTTGAAGAGCGCAAAATATTTAAGAATATGTAAAATAGATTAGATTGTTGTCATTCAATATTAATGTAAATTCAAGCAAAATCTCAACAACTGTCGGTCATCAACCTACAGGTAATTCATTTGCTTTTAAGATTGCAAACTGATAACTATTATATCCGTGCAATAAAACTAACACCATAAGCTGGTCATGAAGAATCAGTAATGGTGTCAGTGGGCCCCGGCCATACTGGAGTTCGATCAGATGACATTGCATAAAATCCAGGCGTACTTGGTCACCAGACCCGAGCCTTCATCGATAGCGCCGCTCCACTGATATTGATCCGCCTCTGGTCATTCTCGAACACACTTTCCTAAAATCAGGTCTACAACGCGTGAGAAATTTAACTTAAATATTTTTCTCCAACGGGCAGACAGATCGGGATAACATTGACAAAGAAAATGTAACAGCCCCAACAGTTAAAACGAATTTTTGCGTCATTATGTAATAACTGCCAGGCCTTCTGTCCGGACTTTTTTGGGTACAGCTAGTAAAGAGCTTACAACCCCGCGGACCCTGAGACAATGTTGAGAACCGGACTGCTATTGACGCTGTCCTTATTGCTATTAATTGACCGCCCGCTGGGTGTAACTGGACACGGGTTTCTGAGGGACCCTCCTGGACGATCCTCCATGTGGCTCTTTGGATATGATTCGCCTCCTAACTATCAACACATGGAATTGTTCTGTGGAGGTTTTCCCGTAAGTTAAAAAGTCTTTTCATATGGAAATAGATTGTTCAGATCCTCATAGATGGGAAATTAGCAGAGAACAGTTTCTTATAATTCATTGAACCATTATTCAGTGCCAAGCGTTTGTCATATGGTAGGTATGTTGCCGATATAATACCGATTTTCGAATTTATTGGACAAACTTTTTAATTCATTATTTCTATTTCTAATACAAAGAAACACGACGTCGTAGTAATAAATGTTTTGTTTTGTTTTAGACCCATTGGTGGATCAATAATGGGAAATGTGGCGTGTGTGGCGATCCTTATGACGCACCGCGGGAGAACGAACCTCCTAATGGCAAATACGCCCGAGGAATCATCACCAAAACTTACGTCTCCGGGTCCGTCATGCGGGCCACTGTTCACGTGACAGCTAGTCATAAGGGCTATTTCGAGTTTCGTCTCTGCCCACACAATGACCGGAAGGTCACGGTTACTCAGGACTGCCTGGATCAGAACCTGCTGAAGGACCCCGTCACTATGGGAACCAAATTTTTTGTGGATGACAAGAGTGTGGGTATTTATTTCATAGAACTCCAGCTTCCACAGGGAATCATATGTGACGCATGCGTGCTACAGTGGCGATATAGAACGGGTAAGAGTAGTTTTCATGCTTGTCTGAGAACCATTAAATTTAGGGCGGAAAAATTTGGCTATACTCAACGAGATGTATGTGTCAAATTTTTAAAACGCAGAAGATTCTTTTTATCAGATGCTTTATATGCTTTTGCTTTCGACGGCTGTCTTACGCCGCCTAACTATAGAAAACACACAACTCGTGGGTTAGAGTTTGAGTTGGGTTAAGAGCTTGGGTTAGGGTTTGGGTTAGGGTTAGGGTTAAGGTAAGAGTTAGGGTTAGAGTGTAGGCTAAAAGTCATATCTAATCATAAAACAAGGGAGATCCTTTATATATGACATCACAAGGCGAGAGAATACAAAGTGTGCAATAGGAAAAATGTATCCAATGAACTATAATTATTAAATCGAAGGATAAACATGATTCTGGTGCATGAAGTATTAGTCAACTCTTGTCCCTAACATGTATTAAAATATGATTGTAGGAAACCGTTGGGGTTGTTACAATAACGACTTTACTAAAGGTCCATGTGGCCTGGGATTTGGACCCCAAGAGGAGTTTTACGCATGCTCCGACATCCAGATTGTCGGAAACAGGACTTCGACACAAACAACAACACCATCCTCAAGATCGACTTCTGTATCACAATCAACTAACAAATCAACTGTGACAACTAATTCGACGCCATCTTCAAATCCTGTCACATCCCCAACAAGTCCCACAACGTCTTCTAAACCTGAGACTGTTAAATCCTCCACCATGTCATCAGTAAGTCCCATGACGTCATCTAGTCCCGTACTTACATCATCTACAACCCATAGTCCCGTGACTACCACTGCCCCAATCCCTACTGTACAAATCGTATGTAAGGCTGTTGGACCTTGGAAAAATTTTCTACCAATGGACAACTGGTGCCGCATTAACTGCGCACGCAATTACTGTCCTCCAACACATTGTCTGTGTGGTCGGGAAGACCTACTTAGTGTTGACAATGGGATCATGAATTCCGGTAAGACGTGTGTATCCCTACGCCCAAACACGGGCTGGGATCTGTGGTGTGAACATAACTGTCCCATGGGGCTGTGTTATCCCACCATGTGTCGGTGTGGAAGTATAAGTCTATCTAAGATGGTAGAACACAACTTAGGAAGCTAATTATTGAAGCCAGAGACAACACCTCTATATAGACTATGTGTTCAGATCAGACAACGATTAGCATATTGTGTAATCTTGTGTCTGTGAACTCTGATATAACTTACTTATTTAAAATCCGAAGATTTAAAGGTGCTTGGACACAAAGTTAATATTTTCTCAAATTTTCTGTATAATTTCCTGACTTATATGTTGCTATAGCATTTCATACTAAAATATAATACAAATCTTATTTCATCTCGAAGTTATTGAAACTTCAAATTTCTGGACGCGTTTGATTGACACATCCTGGCACTTTCTCAAATTTTAATTTTATTCTTAATACTTAAGAAAAGTGGCAAGTTTGTTGTGTATGAATGAAAAATATTAAAACTATAATCCAGAAAATTCAGAGTTGAAATGTTCGAAAGCAAAACCCACTCACAGTATTGTCAGTCCGTGCTCAGTGGTGTGTGCAGACTTTAACAATTGAACACACTCGGTGAATCGCAAACATTAACATGGCCGTAGGAACCGGGGGGCACGGGGGGGGGGGGGCGTGCCTCCCCAATAATTTTGCCGATATATAGAATACTATAGAAAACATAGCTACTATATGTTTGTGCCCCCTCAATAATAACTTCTGATGACCTTTTTTTTTTTTTTTTTTTTTTTTTTTTTTTTTTTTTTGCTTGTCAAGGAATTTTGGTAGTTGATAGTGCCTCCCCAACTGAAAATGTATGGTTGTGCCCCCTCAAAGTGAAATTGCTTCCTACGGGCCTGATTAACAATAACAGAGCTCGTGCCCTGTTTACAGAAACAGTTTACGTTTCACGGGTGTATTCAATTTGTTAAACTCTGTACACAACACTGAGCACGGGCTGACGATATTAGTGAGGGGGTTTGCTTTCGCACATTTCTACTCTGAATTTTCTGGATTATAGATGTAATGTTTTTCATTAATACACAACAAAATCGCTTCTTTTCTTAAATATTAAGGATAAAGATAAAATTTGTGAAAGTGCAAGGATGTGTTAATCAAACGGGTCCAGGAATTCGTAGTTCCAATAATTTCCAGATAAAATAAGTTTTTAATTATATTTTCGTGTGAAATGCTATTGCAATATGTAAGTCGTGATATTATACAGAAAATTTTAGAAAATATTAACTTCAAATCTGTGTCTAAGCACCTTTAAAGCACGCAGTCTGACTTTTATATATTTGTCATACTAGTGCTATTTTTGGTAAAAAATGAGCCGTGTTTTCTAAATGCTTTGTTTTTTGCGAAACATGTATATACAGTAATTTTTATGATCAATAGCATTTGAAATAGTATGAATTGTTCACATATTAATTGAATGACAACAATAAAGGTTTTTTTTTTGTTAAAAATAAACTGACATTTTACATGTATACATGTTGCTATTTCATTTCAATATATCACCATTTCATCTGACTTTAATATATCATGATCACCATTCATTAAATGGGAGTAGGAGTCTGACTTTACCATGTCACCATTTCATTATATGGAAGCGGAAAACTAACTTTACTCTGTCACCATTTCACTACTATCATTTTATTACATGGAAGTTGGAACTGACCTTTAATATATCAACAGTATATAAATATTGCATGTAGTTCAGAATAACATTGAAAATTTTCATCCCAAGAAAAACCATGTCGAGGCGCAACCGAGGTTGACAATGGCTTTCGAGGGGTGAAAATTTTCAATGTTACCATCTGCAAGCAGTATTTATTAATATTATATTATACCTTTATATAAATTATTTGAATTTGATTCGTTTGTTAAAAGCAGTATTATACCAAACCACACTCTCCTGCGCGATAGAACGTTTATTAGCAACAGTCAACAATTCAACATTGCTTGACGACTGGTGGTGATATTCAAAAAAAAAAAAAAAAAAGGACTGACTGGTCGAAAACTATGCGTGCGCTTCGCGGTTTTTTTTTTGCATTTGCATTTGTATAAAACTTTCAGTATAATATGAGAAATACTGTATGTTGAGGACAACATTGAAAATTTTCACCTCCAAGAAAACCATTGTCAACCTATGGAAATTTTCACCCCCACAAAACCTTTGTCAACCTCGGCCGCGCCTCGATTGACCATGGTTTTCTTGGGGGTGAAAATTTTTCAATGTTACCCTCAACGATATGCAGTATTTATAATACAAATAAAAATAACGAACCTTGCGCGAATAGATTCCGCGCAGTCAAAATTTTTTTGAATGTCATACGTCGCAAGTAATGTTGGTTGCTGCAACGTTTTATCACACTAGAGGGCGTATTTTCATCATTCAGAGAGTAACATTTTTTTAAAAAAAATTAATGATTCTTACGAATCCAATTCAACTAATTTACATGAAAATAATGATTATATGATATTATATTTTTAATTATATAATATCAATTATATGATATACTATACTAAATATTAATACACTTTGCTAATTATATAAAATATAAATTATAATATGGCAATAGGAAACTGCACTCTACCATGACACCATTTCACTATATGGTAGAAGAAACTTATTTTTGATGTTGCTTTTCCAGTAGAAGTTGACTTCTAATATTGCTCGCTTTTTATCATTTGCATAAAAGCAGGAACGGACTTCTTATTTTTCCATTCCACGAATTGTACATGAGAAGAGGAATTAGCCTTTATTGTCGCCATCTTATTTCAAAGAAGTAGGAAATGCTTAAATGTGGCTTCAGTCCCTATTTATAAATAGGTAAATGGAAACTGAGTTTTGATATCAGCATTTCATTAGCTGTAGTACGTTGGAATATGGATGGCTTTTAAAGATTAATAAATACTGTAATTTTGTGTGATGTGATGGGTTCCTTTTGTTTAAACTCTCAAGTGCCATCCATCTTTTGACAGCTAGAGATTAAACCAATCAGACACGCAAGGAAGCTAATTAAAATCATCATGCAACGTCAGGATGCAAAATGATTGAAAAATTGCCAAATTTAAATGAAATTCTTTATAGAGCCCGAATCACTACCTTGACATTTTGTATGTCCAAAATGGAAAACTTAATCTTGAACTAAGAAAAAAAATCGATCTGGTGTTTTATGTCAGTATATAATTCTTATTTTTAATGATGAAGAGATACGATATACATCCATATTTTTGACTTTATCTGAAATAGTGGGATGGGATACCTCCCATGCAGAAACCTGAGCAGACAGACGGACAGGCAAAGGACAATGTGATCTTTACGTGTCGCTGTGTTCCGCAGACGAGACAAAAATATTTTAAAACTTTACTTTGGTCCTGTTGTTCTTCACCAGTTCCACCCCCTTGTAATACTTATTGTGGGCCCACCCTATCCCTGGGGTCTGTGATTTCTACAATTTAGAATCTACACTACCCCAGGATTCTTCCACTTAAGTTTCAGCTTTTCTGGCCCAGTGGTTCTTTAGAAGATATTTAAAAAATTTTCCTATATATTTCAATGTAAAAATTTGATTTCCTATTGTGTCCCCTCCCTACCCCCGGGGTCCATGATTTCAACAATTTAGAGTCTACACTACCCCAGTATGCTTCCACATAAGTTTTAGCTTTTCTGGACCAGTGGTTCTTCATCAGAAGATTTTTAACGATTTTCCCTACATAATTCAATCTAAAACTTTGATTCCCTATTGTGGCCCCACCCTACCCCCGGGGCCATGATTTGAACAATTTAGAATCTACACTACCTTAGAAAGCTTCCACATAAGTTTCAGCTTTTTTGGCCTAGTGGTTCTTGAGAAGAAGATTTTTTAACGACCCCATCCTAATTTTGTCTTTTCTTAATTATCTCCCCTTGTAAGTGGGGTTGACCCTTCATTTGAACAATTTAAACTCCCCTTTACCAAAGGATGCTCTGTACCAACTTTGGTTAAAATTGGCTCAGTGGTTCTTGAGGAGAAGTTGAAAATGTGAAAAGTTTACAGACGGACTGACAGACAGACAAATGGACGGACGACGGACAACAGGTGATGAGAAAAGCTCACTTGAGCTTTCAGCTCAGTTGAGCTAAAAATATGCCTTAATTTTAATGAGATGTTCCTTAAACATAACATATAATATTATTGTTAAAGTCTAAACATAACATAATATTATTGTTATTGTTAAAGTTAGGGTCATATATATGGCGTATATATGGCGTATAGGTCAGACTAACTAAAATTAAACAGATCTTTTTATTTGTTTTATTACTTTATATAAAGATAGGGCTTTCCTTTAAATTACACAATTTAAACCAATCACGTTTTAAAGATTTTAGAAATTTAAAGCAATAACCGATCTATTTGCTGACTCTGCATTAAAATAACAGACACAGTTTAAAGTCAATTTAACTAAGGAAACATGAGGTTATTCAAGTTTAAAATCGGTGAAAATTTTAATTTGAACGTAAATAACATATATCATGTTTATCTACACTAAATCTCGTATTTTTATTTTTTAGTTCAAATACGCCATATATAGCTTTAATTAATTATAAATCATTGTATAAATATTGAATCATATCACTATGTATGTCATTAATTCCCTCTTTTGATGAGTGTTTGTGTAGTTTTAATTAAGACTCCCCTCTTTTGGAAAGATCTGTATCAATAATTTGATCAATCTTTTTTACTATGCTATTTTGGTCATATAGCTGTGTTGGGGACTGAAAAACAACACTGCTGATCGTTTTTAGCTCACCTGAGCCAAAGGCTCAAGTGAGCTTTTCTGATCAAAGAGTGTCCGGCGTCCGTCTGTAAACTTTTCACATTTTCGACTTCTTCTCACTGGACCAATTTCAACCAAACTTGCCACAAAGCATCCTTGGGTAAAGGGAATTTAAGTTTGTTCAAGGGGAGATAATTAAGAATTCGTGAAATCTTGGCATCTTTTAAAAATCCTCTTCTCAAGAACCATTGCACAAGAAAAGATGAAACTTATGTGAAAGCGTCATTACATCCTCTTGATTTAATTTTATTCATATCATGACCCCGGAGGTAGGGCGTAGTCACAAGAAGGGGTCGAAGTTTTACATAGGAATATATGAAAATCGCAGCAAGGTTAAGGACTCCCATATCTACGTCAGCCTATGCAGAGGTTTGGGAGAGCTATTATGACGTCACGTTAAAACAATACAAATGAATCTCGATGAATAAATACTATAATGTTCTTTTTAAAACACACGAAATACTTTCGTTTCTCATAAATGTTATAAAAATAAATGGATGTGCAACTTATCTTGCCATAATAGCACTTAGCGTATGCAGAATGAAAGCCAGCTTGATCTCGCTGTACTTACTGAAATGACGTCATTTCTTAGTTTGACACGCAGTTTCTCTGTATTTGAGGCGTGGATCAAACTTTTATCGTGGCTTGTAAAAATAAAAATAAATACGAAACATGCGTAGTCAGACAAAAAGAGAGACATATTTTGAAATATATTAATCCACATTTTATTGTCAAACTAAATTGATAATGTGTAGACTTTATATATAGCCGTAGGGAGCACATTTGTACAGTAACGTGCTAGAATGAGGGGTCCAGCCCCTCGAAAATATCAAAAGTTCAACGATATCCGTTTCACTATAAATTCTGAATTTTTAAACACCTGTAGCCATTATTCCTACTGTTCTGAAAAGTGCTGGGAGCTGGTTGTACATTGTTCATTTATTCCGTAATCTAACATTATTCCAATGCGTATTACATTTTTGTCTAGAGTTTATAGAAAGACAACTAAATTTTAAACATTTCTCAAGCATGAGGAAGTTGCTCCCAGCACTTTTCGGGTTAAGGAATTTGTCTCAAAGAAAACAAAATAAATTTTATAGCGGAAGAATGTCCGTATATCGTTGAACTTTTACGATCTTTGTAGTAGTACATATATGGTCCAATTTTAAACCTGTCACGTGACAAACAGCTGATGTAAGCGATGTCACTTTGGCCGAACTCAGCAGAGACCCGATATATACAAATGCAATCACCACAATTCACATTTATCAAAACTACTGCTGTTAAAAAAAATATTAAAATTGTATTCATTTTCCCTGAATATATAAAGGCGTATATATTTCATGGGCGTCCTTAACCTAGCTGCGATGTCTTTAAAAATCTTCTTCTCGAGAACAGCAAAGCCATGATAAGTCATATTATAATAGAAGTATCCTCAGGTAGTCCAGATTCAAGTTTTTTCAATCATGACACGGGGGGGGGGGGGGTGTAGGGCAGAGCCACAACAGGGGGTCAAAGTTTAGTTTACCATAGGAATATATAGGAAATATCTTAAAAAATCTTCTTCTGAAGAACAGCTAAGACATTATTAGTCATATTAATAGAGAAGCATCCTCAGGTGGTATAAATTTAAGTTTGTTCAAATCATGACCCCGGGGGTAGGGCGGGGCCAAAACAGTGGGTTAAAGTTTTACATAGGAATATATAGGTGTAATGGTTAAGGGGCATTGAGTAAAACGCATTGAAGACTTCAAATAATGGAATGACCTGCCAACCCTTGGAATGAACTAGTCAAACCAAAGGGTATATTTGAAAGGCAAAGCTTCGGGAAAATTAGGCATTCAGAAGGTAGCTGTAGAAGTTGGATGTTGAATCGTCAATAAAGAAGTTAAGGTATTCCATCCCTAATAGCAATAGATTCAATGAAATTCAATACAGAACAGATGTGTAGGGGTTGAATACTCAGTATATTTAGACATAATTCCCATTTATTACTATTAGTATGTAAGAGTGGGATGTGTCCTAATTTATGACCTTGAATTTTGGTAACAGTTATCTGTCTCTGTTTTTGATTAATAAAACGATCAATTAAAAAAAAAAACTTATCTGGTAAAAAAAAATATCGTTTTCAATTGTCATTCTATTTCTAATGTTTTAATGCATCTTTCCACCACAGTATTTATTGATATTCTTATTATTTGAATTTTTATTTTTAAAAAATCGCTTGTCTCCATAGACTTCAATGCAATCTTTGCTGAGTTAATTACTTTTTTGAAACTTTCTCTTCTTAAATCCTTTTCTACTGTAAAATGCTATAAATTAATATCAGAGTATAATGTACATGATGGACATTTAAGGATAGAGAATTTGGTCCTATCAGGGATGGAAAACCCTAAGAGTAAGAGCAAAATAGAAGTATAAAAGTTATAAACACCAGTGGCAAGTATCCTAGGGAATTAATGTTAAGTTCTGGGTGAAGTAAATCTGAAGAAGATTGAGACACCCGGTTCTTATCTATCAATTGGAACCTAGGGGAGAAACACGGTGCAAGTAGTACCTTAACCAGTCTCCGTCTCTAGATAAGAGAAAATTTAAGTACTGTGTAATTTACCCTCAGACAGAGCTGTCTTAATGATCTTTCCAATCATTAACTCAGACAGAATAAGAGGAAAACCTATATATCCCTTGTAAGAACCTGATCATAGACATTACATAAGAAATATCTTTAAAATCTTCTCAAGAACAACTAAGCCATTATTAGTCATATTCATACAGAAGCAACCTTAGGCATTGTTGAATCAAGGTTGTTCAAATTATGACCCCCAGGGGTTGGGGGCACAAGAGAAGTTTAAAGTTTTGCATAAGAATATATAGGAATCATCTTGAAAAAAAAATCATCTGCTCAAGAACAGCAAAGCCATGATAAGTCATATTATTATAGAAGCATCCTCAGGTAGTGTAGATTCCAATTTGTTCAAATTTAGGGTGAGTAGAGTGGGGCCACAATGAGAGATCAGAGTTTTACATAGGAAAAAATCTTCTGTTTAAGAAGAACAAAGCTATGATTGGTAATATTGATATGGAAGTGTAAATTAAAGTTTGCCCCCCCCCCCCCCCGCCTGTAATTTGTAATACTGACATGGAAGCATCCTGAGGTAGTGTAAATTTTAGTTCCCCTGTAAACTTTTAAATACTGAACTGATTTCTGCTTCTTCCTAGCCATTGTGCTCAGGTGAGCGATGTGGCCCATGGGCCTGTTGTTGAACGTTCTTATCGAATTGTAATATGCCATTATCTGTATGCAATTGAAAATTTCTTGTTCATTTAAAGACCGTTTCTCAATAGATTGAAAAATTATTTGTGTCATATATTCCTACATAGTCTCTAATATCGAATGCTAGTGCTCCGCCTAAATAAATGACGTATTAAAAGTATCTTTTCTTGACAACCTTTATTTATGGTTTTTGCTTTGGTTTTTATGTACAATATGAATTATTAAAATTTCATAGCAAACATATTCAATCAAAACTACGTGAACAACACAAAAACTGCATTCACTGCAGAAATATAGGTCTAATTAAAGTATCTTTGAAGAAAACCTTTAGTTCAGAGCATTGTGTGGTCACTAGACATGCGAGAAAAAGGCCGCCTTGTCTTACTGCATGCAAGTCTAACTTTAATGGTGTCTCATGTTACAACCTTAGAAGACGGGTATTTCAAGGCATTGCATGGAATCCGAATAAAAAACTACGGTCTTTCCGTGCCTTTTCCGTATGTTTCAGACACACATTGCTGTTTAATATGTCTACAGCAAGGCAACTGTCAAAGTGCCAATGTTCACGAGAGAGAAGGACTTTGTGAATTGAATAAGTTTGGACCTCAAGATTCCGGAGCAGTTACGGAAGTCAACCAGTCTTGGTCTGTGTACTACAAATCAAATGGTAAGTAATTTCTTAAGCATTTATGATAGATACAGTTTTTGAGATTTTTATACGATAGTAGCTTGAATATCATATCAAGATAGTAACTTGAAAATAAAATTTACTTATTTCTCTTTGATGTTAAAATATTGCGTTTAAGAATAAGGATAAATGAAATATTTCAAAGTAAGAATTACCCTGAATTTGATTTTAAGGGTGATGCCACTTTTGCTACAGGCAAAAGGGTCATTTTTCGATGTCGAATAATGACCGGGAGTCATTTTCGACGTCGAATAATGGGGGTCATTATTCGTCTTTACATCGGATTATATGAAAACAGATTTGATTTTTTCATACACACATTGTTAGGCTTGTGTCATTTCCAGATAATTATTTGGTGCACTAGGAAATAAAGTAATGGTCTGGATCTGATTATAAAATAATAAAAGCTCTTTGCGATTAAAAACTGTTATCAAAACAGTGATACTATCTCTCGATAACGGAATGGAGACATGTGTGTTAGTGTTTCGAAACTTGAGGTCAATGTCCTGCTGTATTTTAAAAGTCAAGGTCACTTGGCAAGGGGGTTTAGACATGGTGTCAAGGTCATCACTTTTGATCCTTGAAATGTTGTTGCCACGGCCTGAAAGATTTACCATGATGTTATTTAGGACTGCAATGGATAAAACCTTGAACATGTCACGCTGTAAAGTTATTATTTGAAAGCTCAATGTTATTTGACAATGAGATGTTCAAATCATGCGTCGAACAAGTCAAGACAATAACTAAGTAACCAATGATTAAAAAATATTCTATTTAAGTCTTGTTTAAATCAGAACTATAGAAGTTTGAGGACATGCGTGTCATCAATGTAAGATAGTTGTGATAAAAAATAAGAGAAAGAAAAAGTCATGGTCTTTTGTTGCTTCCACAGTCGAGGATAGAGAATTGATGCTTCGGGCGACCTCTGGTGTTGGATTTAGCGTCAGAGACACTTGGCTGGGAACACTTTCCCCACCACCCCCTCAGGACGGGTGTAAATCAATGGCGTCAGCAGTGTGTACTACACACTATAGGAATCCAAAGATCGACCTCTGGGAGACATTATCTATATCTGAGGTAAGTAATTGTTTGGACATCTACGTTTAGGTCATTGTGAATATCTATGGATAAAATTCATTTAAAACATCGGCGAATTATTCTTTATATGCGTATAATTCACTTTGTGCATCAGCGTGTAATCAGTTATAAAACAAAATATAGAAATAAAATTCACAAGACAGTCAATATGATTCAATATACTGATCTTTTTCATAAAAAAAATTTCTATTGATCAAAAAAATAATTTTACCATACTTCAAGGTAATGATAGAACTATACAAGAACGGATCCAGAGTAATGTTCATGACCTTCAACGGGACTGGATCTAACCTTGAGAGCTGGATGTCCTCGTCCAGACTTTTGACCAGTAGCTGGACAACGCTGTCTCCGACCAGAAATTTTATTTACTTCTCCGTCAAGGGGTATGTTCGTAATATATACTTGTACGAGTCAAATAGAACCAATATTTTTTTACTACATCTGTAGAAATTAACTTTAATCCTGCATTTTAATAAATAATTACCTTTCAGGGACCAGCCCTGCTCTCGTGTTTTCTTAATACTACAGAATTATGGTGGTTGCCCTAAAGACGCTGGCTGGTTTGTGGTTCTGGACCCGATCTCATCTGACTGTTGTCCGGGTGAGTGGAGCGACCTCTCAAAGAAACCTAAGTTTGTCTACTCCGCATTGGACAATGTGGCCAGGTATCAGAGTACAGGTAACGGGCCATGAAAGCTATGATTTAGAATAACTTCTGTCAATACCTTGTATTAAAAACAATAATCACATAATTCAGGCTTAACAGCAACTTAATAACGAATAAATCAGCACTTTTTTAAGAACGTCTTTCCTATATATGTGCGTTTTAAGACTTTTTAAATATCACCTTCCTATCAAAGAAATGTTGGACAGTGATTATAATGATTACTGATTATCAACCTTCGACACAAATTCATATGCATACAATTATATTGGATTCCAACTACTAATATTATTAATCGTATCACATTTATCGATGCCAGTATGATTTTAAGCTTTTTTTGCTTATACAGGTATGTATTGTAAATAACTGAAATGAAAAAGATTGATACTATTTTAAAAACTCTTTTCGAAATACTCTGTAGAATCTGGAAACTTCTATATCTTCAGACAATCTATAAACCAATCGAGATAAGGTATCCATGCCCCTGCTAAAGTTGCAGCAACGTAATAATTATTAAGAAGTCAGTTTTGTATTTTATTATTTCTTGTTCTCTTATCTTCTGGTAGATGTCGACTTTGCCGATGTGATGGCGGTGTTCGTCAAGTACACGTAATGAGTCCAGTCTATTTCATGACAACCAGAAACCCGTATCTATAGAGAAAAACAAACCACAGTGGTGATTCATCTTGGTTCCACCTTGTTTTTTTTCAATTTATTGTATCTTTGAAAATACGAAATAAGATTCTCAAAACTACCTTCTTATTGTAGAAGAATTCGACTGGAATGAGAATTTGAGAAACTTTCTAAAAATATAAGAGGTGTTAGTATAATCATGTTCAAAGCATATTCATAATAAATTGTTAAAAAACAAATAAAATGTATGTTTTTAATGAAGTTCGTCTTTTTACATGTGTGCTTTACACCTTCGCCCGTTATGCAAATTATCCCACGTTTCCAACTGTCGTTAATGCCTTGGCATACCCAACAAACTAGACAGTGATTCCTTAAATCCCTCTCCATACTGTTGGTTGTGTTCATTTTTATATCTCTTTCCATCTCTACTTCTTTTTCTATCTGTGTTCCTTTGTCTGTCTCTTCCGTTTCCAGTATAATCTTTCTTCTCCGCCTCTATCTTCTTTAATCTTTCATCTATCTGATGAACTAGTCCTTTAAGGTCCAATTCCCTTTCAACTTCCGGATTCTCTTGATCCTGATAATTCGCAGCTATAGCCATTGTTGGTGTTGATTCACCACTCTCATGTTCCTTCTCTATAAGTCTAACTTCCTTTCTGAGATCATCAAAATCCTTAATGGTATCACATCTGTGTCTTGTTATGTCCTTCAACCACTGTTGTAAACCATGCCAAAATATTGACCTGAGTTGCTCATTCCTTTCACTTTCCTTGGCTATTCTATTCCTTTCATCAAAACCCTCCCGAATATTTCTTCTAATCTATAGCTCCACACTATGCTGTCCTCGTCCTTCTTTTGACTTGTTCTGGAACATGCCTCCATGAGGTTTTCTCCTCTTTCTACACTTCCGAAAATGTTGTCTAGCTTGTGTAACATCTATTGAACTGTGGCAGCTGGACCACGCTGTAATGGCTTTACTTGCTTCACTTTTAAATCAACGTCTTATAGCACGTGTCCTTCCTGATATACTTTATTTCAGCAAATAAAATATACAACATGGCTATCTAATGCAGTTAGAAATATAACTTTTATTGTGCCTGGTAACGAAATACATGTATATTGTACATTATGATCGGAGATATGAATAAAATAACATCCTTTACTTAGCACTTCCCTGTGTTTAATTTCACAATACGGGTTCGAGTCCCACTGCGGGTCGTGGAGACCAGTTCTTCGGATGAAACGGTATAAACCGAGGTCCTGTGTCGCAGTAAAAGATCCCTCAATGCTCAATGGCCCTGGGTGCCGAGTACAGTCTAAATTTGCAGCCCTCCACCGGCAAGTGCACATTTCTAAGCTTGTTGGAAAAACATTACATAAAATACAAAAAATTGTTTTCATCATGAAACAGGTATTTTTTTTTTTACACAAACTGCTTACAGATATTTCATCTTGAAAAGAGCACATTACACAAATTGCTAAAGAATATTCACAATTTGAAACAAGTATATTACACAAAACACCGAGTTATATCTCATCTATTGAAATAGTTACATAACACCGACGTCTATAACTCAGTATATCAACTTGAATCAAGTACATGTATATTACACAAAATACTAATGTTATAAATATGAACGTTCATTTATCTCTTATTAAAAAAAATTTCACGGGATAAAATTGATAGAATTATAGTTTTAAATAAAAGTGAACAATAACACTTTTCAATTCAATTGTTCAAGACATACAATCTTATGGCAATTAATTAATACGTTGTTCAGAAAGTTCATAAACATGGAAAGTTGTACAGTACATATACTTATCACATTAAACAGCTTATATTATACAGAGTTGGAGAATAACATGATATATTTGCATACATATGATTACGAAGTTCAAATGATTTAAAGATATATTTTCCTAGCTTACATAGCTCTTTTACATTATTGGCTCATAACAATTTTCCCATAATATCTTCCTAACTCTTGAATCAAAAGTTTTTTTTTGCAATCTACAAAACAGCAATATTAATACAGTTAATACAAAAATAGCATCAGCTGTTGATAGATAGGTTAATAAATCGAATTGAGCATCTGCTACTATATCATTAGTAGATAACACCTTAAGAGCTTTCTATTTAAAATTGATGTATTGAAATATGAAGATAATGATCAGTAATCAAACTCAAAAGTCCATTGAAACAATACATATTTGAAGAAGAGCAAACACGGAGCTCTAAAAACATCAGAGGTGGGATTAGGTGCCATGGATGAGTAAGCATCCCCCGTCGACCGCCGTGTGCTCCTTGTCATGATCGGGCAAACGGAAAAATCCGTATACAATTCAGTGTGAAAATAATGGCTTAACAATTGGTATAAAAAACGTCAGTAACAACTTAGAAACAACTTTTCAAACTTATTCCTCTTTTTTGAATAGATGAACTATAACAGCTTTTGTCCACTGGACGAACCCCCCCCCCCCCCCCCAGAAGATACAGTATGATTAGAGATACAACATAAATCAGATATTAAATCTTTGAACTATTAAATACTCATTTAATATAAAATCTAATCCATGCGACTTTCCTCGCTTCAGATGCTCGATTGCTTCGATTATTTCCTGAATACTCATATCACTGTCAAGCTATTCTAAACAGTATACGAGAGCCTTTTTACGTTTCAAAATACAACGAAAAAATCTTATCCCAACTGTTTTCATAAGTAAACAATTAAAATTAATGTAACATCGATGATAATGGAAAAAAAACCCTGAATTATCGACATAATAACATGTCTCTCATCAAAATGTAAAATATTGATTATTTCCTTCATGCCAACTATATTTCAAAGAAATCGTGGTAGTTTCGCTTAAACAAAATAAGCCATTGAACTAAAATTGAACTAAAATTCAAACAGGTTAACGTTTGCAAAGTTTTATTGTTCAACAGTCCAGAAAATAGACTGATTGTTGGCCCACGGATCACAAAGCTGAAGAACGGAATATATGAAAAATACAATAATTTGAAAACAGAGCAGATAAAGCAGATAGAGCGAAATTATGGCTTAATCTTCTGTAAATATCTGTTGAATATGGCAAAGATCACAGGTCTTGGAGTATATATCATAGCCACGATTGCGTCTGTTTGCACACCTGTGAAAAATGACATCTTTAAGAAACTGGCAGGTCTCCGAATAAGTAACGGGACTGTTGATTCAGAAAGTGTTTTTTCATTTGGATCCACCCACTGTTGTCTTCTATGTGTACAAAGGGAAAATTGTCACAGTGTTAATTACCATCAGAACAATAGAACATGTGAAATAAACAACTTTGGACCCCACGATTCTTTAGCTGTAACTGAAGTTATACAGGACTGGTGCATTTACTACAAGTCAAATGGTAAGTCTCAATATTGTGTTTTTTGCCACAGAGTATTTTAAAACTTAGTTTTATTTTCATTTCTATTCAAACGGTGAATTCCTGTGAGTTTATGCTTTTACTTAAAATGCACACGAATCGAGTGAAGTGCTAGTTTATTATTCCTTAACTTTATTTATTGCAAGCTAATCCAATTATCAATACATGTATTGAGATCTTTGTATGTTAGAATATTTTTTAAAAAGTAATACAATATTACGTTAATTATCCAAAGACTCGCGGAGAATAAATAACAGTGGACTTACTCCCCTTAAATTCTGCATAAATTATGAATACCGAATTCAAATTTTACAAACTTAACTGAATGTTGGCGTAAATTGGCTGCAGTGGTCGTTAGTTTCAAATGATACCACATTATCAACATACATACATCAGTAGGACCGCTGAACAACTGCGTGGTTTGTGTTCTTACAGTTACATTCCTCGTCTGGTTGTCTGTGTCCTTACAATTACCTTCCTCGTCTGGTTGTCTGTGTCCTTACAGTTATCTGTCTGGTCTGGTTGTCTGTGTCCTTACAGTTATCTGCCTGGTCTGGTTGTCTGTGTGGTCTCTACAGCCCAGTAGCTAAGTAAATCGGTACTAGCTTGAAAATACGGATATATATTTAATTGCTGTGGTAAAATTTAGTAATTTATTTCAAAATTAAGGATTATCTCCCTCATGCATAGCCCCGATCCTTCGACAAATTTGGCTCCAGCCTTTGGCAGCCCTTTTTTCAGCTCTTCAAAGTCTTTTTTATTTAAATATTTTGGATTTCCAGCGTTTCAGCACGAGCATCACTGAAGAGACATAATTTGTCGTAATTTGCATATGGTGCATCAAAATTGGTACCGTATATGATTTACATCCTTACACTTATCTGAAACTGTGCTCAGTCTGGTTGTTTGTGTCTAACAATATTCTGCCTAGTCTGGTTGTCTGTGTCCTAACAGTTATCTGCCTGGTCTATTTGTCTGTGTCCTCACAGTTATCTACCTGGCCTCTTATCGTCCTTACATTTATCTGCCTTGTATAGTTGTCTGTGTCCATACAGTTATCCGCCTGGTCTGGTTGTCTGTGTCCTTATAGTTATCTGCCTGGTCTGGTTGTCTATCTCCTTACAGTTATCCGCCTGGTCTAGTTGTCTGTGTCCATACAGTTATCAGCCTGGTCTGGTTGTCTGTGTCCTTTCAGTTATCTGCCTTGTCTGGTTGTCTGTGTCCATACAGTTATCTGCCTGGTCTCGTCGTTTGTGTCCTAGCAGTTTTCCGCCTGGTCTGGTTGTCTGTGTCCTAGCAGTTATCCGCCTGGTCTGGTTGTCTGTGTCCTAGCAGTTATCCGCCTGGTCTGGTTGTCTGTGTCCTTATAGTTATCTGCTTGGTCTGGTTGTCTATGTCCTTACAGTTATCCACATGGTCCTGTTGTTTGTGTCCATTCAATTATCTGTCTGGTCTGGTTGTTTGTGTCCATTCAGTTATCCGCCTGGACTGGTTGTCTGAGTCCTTACAGTTATCTGTCTGGTCTGGTTGTCTGAGTCCTAACAATTATCCGCCTGGTCTGGTTGTCTATGTCCTTACAGTTATCTGCCTGGTCTGGTTGTCTGTGTA